GAGTCCAAAAGTTGTTTGCTTCTCAGTCGACAGCGAGGGTGAAAACATGCGACTGCTGGAGCCATATACGTATCAGAGAGCTGATAGTAAATGGAAAAGAGTGTCGCGTGCTGCGGGATTCGGCAGCGACAATGGACGTGGTCCATCCCTCGTATGTTGAAGCTGAACATTTCACAGGAGAGTGCGCTTGGATTAAACAAGCAGCGGAGCCATCAAGCGTATGCCTTCCGATTGCTAAGGTATGCATCGAGGGCGCCTTTGGCGCATTGCACACAGAGGCTGCAGTATCTGCTTATTTGCCAAAGCAGTATGCATACTTGTTTTCAAACAGATCCGATTGGTTACTAGGACAGAAGAACCTAGCGTACGGGGATGGGGTTGTGTGCGCGCTCACTCGCTCAAAGGCGCGAGAACTCGCAACTAGAGCCGCACCGCTCGATGTTCCCTCGAGAATCACCGAGAAAGCCGGAGATGGAGAGCCCACGAACACGGTAGACACGATCACAACAAGCACTGATCAAGTGAGCGATGAAGGCGCGGATGAAAACGAGGAAGACCCTCTTGAATCTGGAAGTGTGTGTGAGGAAATGATTACTCCTGCATCTAGTAGCCTGCAGACTTTGCTGAGAGTGGATCGATCGTCCCTTATAGAGCAGCAAAGAGCAGACCCCACTCTTCAAAATATAAGGAGCCAGACTAATGAGGGTACTTCAAAGAAAAACGTGATGTATCAGAACAGGGCCGGGATACTTTATCGTAAGTATCTAGATTGCAGACGGGTGCAGTTTGATCAGTTAGTGGTACCGGAACGTTACCGCCGTGATCTTTTACACTTAGCTCACGGTAGCTCATGGTCGGGTCACTTGGGGGTCAAAAAAACGAAGGATCGCCTGCTGCAGGAATACTATTGGCCGGGTTGTTTCCGGGAAATAGAGAATTTTGTCAGAACCTGCGACACCTGTCAGCGTGTAGGAAAACCAGGGGATAAGGTTCGTGCCCCAATGAAGCTCGTGCCAGTGATCACTGAGCCCTTTCGACGACTCGTGATCGACACAGTAGGGCCTCTTCCAAGAACAACATCCGGTTACCGTCATGTCTTAACAGTAATTTGTCCCGCGACCAAGTTTCTTGAGGCAGTGCCTTTAAAGAAACGGAGCTCGGTAGAAGTGGTAAACGTGCTGTTGTCTATTTTCGCACGCGTTGGTTTTCCCGCTGAAATACAGTCCGATCAAGGGACCATTTTTACGAGTGCACTGACTACAACTTTCTTAGAGAAATGTGGAATCAGATTAATCCACAGCTCGGTGTATCACCCCCAGTCAAACCCAGTAGAAAAGTTACACTTGGTAATGAAACGCGTCCTTCGAGCACTCTGTTTCGAGCGCAAATTCGACTGGGATGCGTGCTTGCCAGCAACCATGTTTGCGCTCAGGACTGCACCTCATGAAGCCACTGGATTTACCCCGGCAGAATTGGTCTACGGTCGCTCTCTGCGATCCCCACTCCGTATTCTTCGGGAGTCATGGGAAGGGCGAGCGGAAGACCCTACGGTGGTTGAATATGTGCTAACTCTGCTAGAAAGGTTGCATAGAGCACAGGAGCTGGCAGGGGATGAGATGAGCAAGGCACAGGCTCGGGCCAAACGCTACTACGACAGGTCGGCAAGATCACACCGGTTTGAAGCTGGAGATCAAGTAATGCGGCTGAAACCTTCACCAATGAATAAACTAGATATCCAACGGGAAGGTCCGGCGGAAGTCGTTCAAAGGCTGTCCGACACAAACTATCTGGTAAGGATGCCAGGTAGACGTAAGACGCAGCAGATCTACCACAGCAATCTGCTCAAACCGTATCGAGAGAGAGAGGTTGTCGTAAACATGGCGGTAAACGTGCCCGAAGAGCCACCACTAGATTTCCCCTTTTCGGGAGTGGAAATAAAGGAGGATAACGCTGGTCAAACGCTCAAGGCCATGGTTGAGGTAGCTGAGCTCACAGCTAACGAGAAGCGTGACCTAGAAAGCCTCCTGATAGAATATGAGGACATGTTCTCGGAGAAACCGGGCCGAACAAATTTGGTAGTGCATGACATAGAGCTTGCGGCCACTCAGCCCGTGCGGTCAAAGGCGTATCGAGTGTCACCGCGTCAGCGTGCCATTATTGAGACCGAGATTAAAAGAATGCTCGAGCTCGATGTGATTGGAGCTTGTGAAAGCGATTATACCTCTCCGCTTATATTAGTGGAGGTTCCTGGGAAAGATCCGCGACCATGTGTTGATTACCGGAGGTTAAATCACCTAACGAAGGATCAGACCTACCCCATACCAAATATAGAGGAAAGAATTGAGGCAGTAAGCAGTGCTAAGTACATCTCTACCTTCGACCTCGTTCGGGGTTATTGGCAGGTGCCTTTGACCGAAAGGGCCAGCAGATATGCGGCGTTTATTTCTCCCATAGGAACATACCGCCCTAAGGTGTTGAGCTTCGGCTTAAAGAATGCCCCCTACTGTTTCTCGGCTCTCATGGACAAGGTATTGCGAGGTTTAGAGGGGTTTGCCCTGCCTTATCTGGATGATGTAGCAGTATTTTCAGGTCCATGGTCCGAACATCTCACCCACTTGCGAGCAGTGCTTCAACGTTTCCGCGAAGCAGGTCTGACCGTGGAGGCTCGGAAGTGCCAACTTGGCCGAGCAGAGGTTACTTACCTGGGTCACATAGTGGGGCAAGGCCACCGCAGACCTTCCGATGTCAAAGTGGCGGCAGTTAATAATTTTCCGCAGCCCCGGACAAAGACAGATGTGCGGTCATTCCTAGGATTGGCAAGGTACTACCAGCATTACATTCCCCGTTATTCAGAGCTGGCCAGCCCGCTTACTGACGCTCTTAGAAAAACCGAACCTCAAATTCTGGAGTGGGATGAGAAGAAAGCGAGGGCATTCTTAGCGCTGAAAAATGCGCTCATAAGCCAACCTGTACTTCAAGCCCCCGACTACGCTAGACCCTTCGTGGTTCAGTGCGATGCAAGTGACCGCGGCATGGGCGTAGTATTGTGTCAGAGAAACGACGCAGGAGAGGAACATCCCGTGCTATATGCAAGCCGCAAACTAACTGTAAGGGAGGAAGCCTATAGCGCTTCAGAGAAAGAATGCGCCTGTGTTGTATGGGCGGTTCAGAAGCTCGCATGCTATCTCGCGGGATCAGAGTTTATTATCGAGACGGACCACTGTCCCCTCACGTGGTTGCAAACGATGTCGCCTAAGAACGGCCGGCTACTTCGCTGGAGCTTGCTATTGCAACAATACTCTTTCGAAATTCGTTACAAGAGAGGCAAATTGAATGGCAACGCTGACGGCTTAAGTCGTTGTTTCTAGGGATCTTGATGGCGTCAGGTAATCTGGCTTGGGTATTTAGGTTCCATTTTTTTGTATGTGTGTGACAGGTTTACAATTGCTTTTTTTGTATTTGTGCTTTATCACGACACGTGTTTGTGAATTTGAGCAGCCTATTTCAGGTTGGGTTGTTAGAATTGCTGCTGCTATTGTAATGAAGAACAGGTCGTTTTGGATGAATTAAAAGCCTGGTGGGTCTCAGGAAGAGAGTATGGGCGCTTGCCTGCTTGGCAGTTGTGTTTCTCGCGTGGTGGACACATGTGCTGTCTTTCGAGAAGGAATGTTGGCCAGCAGAGCGGGAGCCTTTCTCCAATTTTGGACGACGCTACCAGAGGCTGCAGATCACCAGGGTGCCAGGGGATTGCTGCAGATCCGCATCGAGGTGGCCACAGCTTCAGCACACCAGCATTGTCTTCATCGACCTCTCCCCACAAAGGTGGATGACCTTCATACATCGAGGTCTCGGCCGGCCGCCGGGGAAGCTGTTACAAAGCAGTAACGAAGTCCTTGGGCCGGATGGCCCCAAGCGTGCCTTCCCGTCATCTCGGACATTCTGTGTGGGGGCGGGTCGTCACCTGCACCAGCTCTGTTTGGCCCCAAGCGTGCCTTCCCGTCATCTCGGACATTCTGTGTAGGGGCGGGTGTTGTCACCTGCACCGGCTCTGTTTGTCTCGGCTGTGCGCTTTGCCTGCGGGGCAGTGGCTACGGGCGGGCCCCTCTGAAATGTGCGGAAGGCCGGTTGTGTGCTACAGGAGGGACTGCCGTGAATTTCTCCTGCGTGGTCGCTTCCGAGTCCCCGCGCGTGTGCCACATGCATCTGCCACGTGTGTGAAGTGACACTTGTGTTGTGCTCTCCATGAGTAATTGATTCCCCGAAGAGACATTCCGCCTATATCTACGAAACTGCACGGCGAGGCAGGAGAGCAGCCCGCCAGAAGCAATCTGGAGAGCGTCGCGAGAAGAGTCGTCGTTCGGACGTTACTGTCCAACATGTTGCAAATAAACGTCTTGTTAAGTTTTCCTTTACGCCTGTCCCTCTGCCTCAGCTCTCGAGAGTTCTGAACGTCCACGTGGCCTGCGGAATGACGACCACCACCCAGCTCCACGCTACCTACTGGGTCCGCTGCGGCCACCGACGCGGCTCGTAACAGTAGACACCCTGCAGTGCCTATTTAGGAACTATCCTTATAAGCTCACCCTCTTCCACACACCCACAGAATATTGCATATGGGACACGACAGGTCTTGCTGCACTTGAGAGTTCATATGATACATCAAGATGATGCAAGTTTTCGGTTAAGATTTGCTGTATAATTACGATAGCAGTAAAATGCATTTTTGCAAATTCCAATATTCATAAAAACGATTGCAGCTAGGATTAGAGACCAAATGGTTCAAAAACGAGGTAAGCCAAACACAAAAATACAGTATGGTGCGAAGAACTTTATTTAAGGACCCTGAGAAATAAAACAATTATAATGTTTTGAAAATCGACATGCAAATTAAGCACTACACCAGATACCACCAGCGGGATGCATTACTATCAGCACATACTCAAATATTTTAAATTAGCTTATGATTCAGGTTTCAAATGACATGGGTGCAACAGGCTTACCTGGTGAGCACACCGTGGTGGTGGAAAGTTGGGTCCTTTTACAAGAAGCCAGTTGTTTTTTTTGATGTTGTAGACAAAAAGCTCATTGTACATGATCGTCTGAAAGAAATTCAAGGAAAATGAAAGTGATCAAAAGAATGTCCACTGCATGTTAACTAAGCAGCACTACCAATTAACTAAGCTGTGGGTCATAGTTGACCCCATAGCACATGCCACATGATGCAGACCGTCAATGAGTACAGCTTGTCTTGTCACTATTACATTTAGTTTGCTTTCTTTTCAAGTATTCACCAATTCTGCGACCAATAAATGCAGCTGTGCAACACATCACCCTGGGAAATCTTTGCAAAGGCGACAGATTGTTGAAGTGCACGATCTCAACTATTATGAACAAAAAAAGTGAGTACAAGGACAACAAGAAGTTAACATGATGACTGCAAAGCTTAGAAGTAACTATGTCACACCACATTAAAGGAGTACTGACACGAAAAATTTGGCCTCGCGTTTTTCTGCTGCAATGCGTTGCTGTAGGGCTGTTAGTCAGGACACGACACATTGTTTGCTGCAGCACGAGACAGATAAATAATTGCAGGCCCCTTATTATCGATCAGTTTAAGTTTCGCTTTGAGAGAGTTCCAAAAGCTGGGTGCAACTGTCGCCACCTAGCGTGTGCAACTCTTGACCATGTCAGCACACATAACAGTGACGCACTTCTGCACGATTCGCAACAAGAATTACTTTCGAATAGGAAACAGCACTGGAATGTCGCCAAACACAAAACTTTCTAAGCGTGCGCCACGGCCACGCACTCGCAATCAGCCGCCAAGAAATATTGACTTCAAAAACTAACGCGTCAAAAAAAAAAAAAAGAAAAGAAACGGCTATGACGTCATCATAACTTGTTTTGTTGACCGCAGCGTAGTGACGTGAAGGAAGTAGCGGGTCACCTCGGGGTCACCACCGAGGGAGTCTATAGCGCTATGAAGTCGGTCACTTACGCAGACTTCAAAATTAATTGAAAATACCTTCCAAGCTATACTCGCTTTTGATATCTTGCAGATGATATACGGATGTTCACGAGAATCGACCTCGCCGGCTATCTCAGCCCCGAAATTTTGTCAGTACCCTTTTAAATAATTTATTTTCAAATAGTTTGTTAGCACTTGAACGTTAAAGGTTTTCATCAGAGGTCCCAAAGTGCACCCTTAAGCTGAATTTACACAATGGACTTGATTACGAACAAATCAGTTGTGTAACATGCGACATGATTCAAATCTCTCCGCAGCCAGCATTTACACATCAGGGGAGTATTCACGCTACAAGCAGCATTTCAGTATTGCCATCTCTGGATCCCAACTGTGATTTAGGCCTCCACCGTTTCATGAATCGCTTTGCGCAGACCAAAGAGAGAATGCAGGAATGACCAACATATAATGACATAATACACAATCTGCAGGCTCGAATCGCAATTTCGGGTATTGTGTGAACACAGCTTTAGGGATAAAAACCAATACAGTGTTCGCAAAATGTAGACAAATAAACTTCACTCTAAGAAACCAGGCACTGATCATTCATGAGATATATTATATATGAGAACAACTTGGGATGTCAGCTCAGCATAATGAACATAGGTGGTCAAGACAGGCTTTGCAGTCTGTGGGCAAACACAGGAAGATTCCTGTGGCTGATAATCCTTTGCTGTAGTGAGTCCTCTGCTGTAGCATACAAAGATGAAGTTGGTATGACTGCTTATAATATAAGCAAATACAGAGCTTTTACCAGCATTTCCCGATTGTACAACTACTGGAAATGCTTCTATTATGGCTGCCTATTTTCGCAGTTTTTTTTTGTTTTGTTTCACAGTACTGTTATTAAAGTTTGACATAGCCTTAAATGGTTACCTACACCTATTATATGGTTCAATCAAATGAGCCCTTGTTTTGTTCATAAGCAATTGTACAGGTGCTTTTAGAATAATTCGGAACGCCGAACACACAGCCACTCGCTAGTGAAGCGATCCGACGGAATAATACAGGCAAGGTCCGCGCGTGCGCGGTCTGCCTAGCGAGTAAGTTTATCTCCCTAGTGCATTAAATTGGCACTGTCTTGCTTCAAAAAAAGTAGCGCTGGTGCTATTAAGCAATATGATGAGAGCTGAAAGGATAGGCGCCTTTAGCATGCCAAGCCCCGTAATTCATTGAGATGAAAACTAGTCAATGCTTGACGGCATGCACTCTCGTTTCTCTGCCTCCAGTCTGGAAGACTACACGCAAGTAAGGCAGCATGGCTAGAATGGCATCACTGCCTTAACTATGTTAGTATGTTTTGCAACGTGCTAGTTCTTGCTTTAATTCTCTTGCAATCAGTGTTTCTACTAGTTGGTTATATGAGGACAATACGTACTATCAAAGACACTCCCCTTACAGGTGTGTTTGCAATATTCTTAATAAAACATTTTAGAAAATGGAATGAGATGTTTGTGAAAGCGAATTTCAGGCAAAGGACTGATTTTGTGCGTCCTTCATTAAGCTCCGCACTACTCCAGAGTTTTTTATTCCCGGACCACATATCACAGTTCGCATACCTTCATGCACCAATCAATTGTAGAATCTGGGCACTTGGTAACGAGTATTTTTACATTTCAATCACATGTCGTTTCTTGCCACAGACATTTGCTTTTCATCAGAGATTCTATACAATGCTAGTCAGCAACAGTCTGTATCAGCTAAATGCAAAACAAATAGCATCATAGCAGAGATATATTTATAACAGGAAGAACACTGTTTATTTTTCTATACTAAACAAAGAATAGAAATGTAACTGTGTTTGGTCGACGTGCCCATGGTTGCATAAGACAAAAACGCTGACCTTTGCCAGTGTTAGTAACAATCACCTCTGGTAAATATTCTGATTAAATGATGAATACGGCCTCACGTAATCAAAGAAAAAAAAACACCGACACAATCAAACACACATGGATGCAAAATGGCTTATTTTCCAACTCAAAGTATGTGCACACAGAGCTTGTCACAGACACCAACAACCCAACCCCCTTATCAAAGCACTATCGTTTCATAGCAACGCAACGCAAGTCTGCGTGCACTAGGGAGCAACACTTGCTTTCTAGAGAGACCACACATGCGCAAACCATCATACTACTTTTCTGCGAGCACACTCCGCAGACGAGCGGCTGCATGTCCGTTGTTTCGAATTATTTTAAGAGCGCCTGAACACATGACATTTTAACAATGCTAATTTTTCCCGTTTCTCTGAATTTTTAATTCTGAATAACTTAGGGCTCAACATGGCCTAAAGTTTTAAATGTAGCAAAATCTACTCAAGCTGGCACAACAATCAATGAATGAGGAATTTTTTTAAAGGAGCCATGGCACCAAGGTTTTGAGATTGAACTGCAGATTGCACAATGTCCATATGCTTCCCACAACAAACTTGCGAAGTTTAAGCACATTCAATACAGTAGAAAACTTGCACTGGAATTCTGAATGCTATAGCAGATATGGTAGTGCAGCAACCATTAGTGAATACCAATCCTATAAGCAGTTTTTGCACAGTATGAAAAACAAGATGCGATTCCAAGTGATTGAGTTCATGTAATTCACAGCTGTTTACTGCAGCATTTTGCGGAGCAAGCGAAGAAATTGTGGGCACAAACAGAGATGCCTTCATCGTGCCAGAGCATGTGGAGCAATATGTCCAGTGTGGCATCACATCGTTTCATTGCAAACGACACAATGGTGGATCTCCATTTTCTGATGTGTCACAATACCTGCCAACATAGCAGTTGTTGTCGGTAGGGCTTAATGGGCAGTACTTTCAAATTAAAATTTCAAGTTGAAATGTCTGCTTAGTCTAGTTTTTTGGGTATGTCGCTAACCATATTGGCTCTCTACTCTGAGTTACAATGACAAAGCTGAAATCAGTTGGATGACCATATCATGGCCAATTTAAGATACCTGAGAGCCAAAGCAGGTGTGTCCTTTCACTTATTGAAACAAGAGGCTGCAAAAATGACAACCACCTGCTGTGACATGACACTTGACTAAAAGATTTGTTCCAGAATAGCCAGACCCATTTAGAGGTCAACACCATTTTATCTTAACGTAAGCTAAAATTCTTGCCGTTTGAATTATTTTATCACCCTAAAGCAAATTTTGACTTTCTGGATTTTTTTTTGTTCGCTGATTGGTGAACCTACCCTTGAAGTGAATGTTGCAAAGACGTCTTTCGTCGAGTTTCGATGAAGGTAAAATGAGCTGAATCGCAATTTTCATGTTGACACGCCCGGTTTGTGATGCTAGCTTTTTGTTCGTTTTTGTTTTGCACGTTAGTGAACACCTTTCGGGCCTTTTTCCGACCACTGGCGACTACACGTGTTTTACCATCAAATTGTAGCGGTGACAACATTAACGGATAATAATAATAATAAACGTTCCATACCTTTTTTCCATTGTAGTATTCGCCACCAAATAGCAAAAGTTCGTCTTTTTCTGGATGGGCGCACAACGTAGCCCCGCTCCTGCAGAAAAACGAAAATCAAACGCGTGAACGACAGCTATGTCACAGTGGAACAAATAACGAGTACGGCCAGGTATGGCCAATTCATCACCTGCAAGAGGGAGGCCCTACGAGCTCTTCGGTAATCTGTAGTTTCTTGCGATCTTCCTCAACAAACTGTGCGATCAGCGTTTCAATGTCATCCTAAAATAGGGAAAAGAAACAGCTTCACATGTGTAAGCTACTGGGGCTACCAGCACTACCAACTATAATTACCTCGCCATTTGCGGCCAATTCCTTCTTCAGTTTCTGTAATGCCTTTTTTTCTGTCTTTGCAGTAGTCTTCTTCGCGCCTTGGCCCTTCTTTTTCTCCTTTTTCGCCATTTTTGTAGCGATCTTAAGTACAATTAAGTGCCAACCCCGCTCAGCATCACGCTGATCCTTCCGTCTCCTCCAGGCAAGCGTGTATTCTTTGCGTTGGTCCTCCGTGGTTGGCAGCGTAGTGGTAGGTACTCTCTGAGGCTGTGATGCAGTGCTGCCAACCTTCAGAGCCATCTTTTCCCTCACTGGAGTAAAAAAAAAATTCTCCAGATTTCTCTAGAATTTTTTGCAGAGCAATTTTATAAAGACTAATGTGTTTGCGCAGTGGAAAACAATTTACAAGTTTCCTTTCATGATATAATGGTGTACTAGTTTGAAAACATTCGCCAAAATTACCGTGCCGAAGGTGAAAAAATGTTGCAGTACAAGATGAAAAGCTTTAAACAACATTTTATTCCACGAAATCACAAAGGCAAGCGGTAATCACAAGGGGGGGGGGGCGAGGAGACGTAGAATCGCGGTATTTTATTCAAATCACCAAGAAAGAAGGATTGCATGTAGTACAGTGTACTAGAATAGAGGCAGTGTGCTCACTGCCCTATCCTTGCGGCGCTCCGCCGTCGCGCACTCTGTTGGTCTCTTCGTTTTGGCTGCACCGGCTGAACCAGTTCAAAGGGTGCAGCACCTTCGTCCTCGTTTTGCCGGAGCAGCGCGCGCCCTCTGTCGCACCCTCTGCACTGGCTCCCTCGTTTTGTCTAGGTGTAAGCCTAGTTCCTGACGAGTTCTGTACCGGCGTGCACGCACTCCAAAGCAGGTGCAGAGTAGTGCAGCATGGCGGGCGTCCCCCCAAGGCCAGAGCAGACGACGTTGCAAATAGTTGTTCAGGGCGTTCAAAGGAAGTTAAGGCACTTCACAATCCCGACGGGTCATTTATGACGGACGCCAACGGTTACGTCTATGAGGCATCAGGTAAGTCAGGCTGCATGCATTGCCAAAAAACGTGGTTAGCGGCCAGGAGTCGTAGTCGGTCAGCAAACAGCCTCGTAGCATTGCTTATGCTATGTCGGTATTTTTAATCTTGGTTTTCGCCCTTGCAGACGGCAAGCGCGTTACGTTGCGGTTCATGGCAGGGAATCGTGAAAATGACCCCCCTCCGGCACAACCGCCGACGCCTTCTCCTGCCTGCGACGGCGACGTTGACAGCGATGGGGCTTTAGCCGCATTTCCAGCAGCAGCCGCGTCGGCTGAAGATGTGGAAGAGCTTTGGAGCGCCCGAAAAACAAGGTTCTTCATCGCCAAATACTCGGAAATGAAGGACTTGGTGGGAAAAACCAGGGCACTTCGGTATGTCATCCTATGTCCAAAATTATTTGCAGCTTTTTATTATTCCGTTTCACTCTAGGCAAGCACCAACAAGATAAGGGCGCATGAAGTTCACAATGGCGATGGTTATTGTTGCCTACATTTTACTGCCAGCAATTTACATTTTACTGCCCCCCCCACTGAAAAAAAATTTTGGCTATGCGCCTGACTGTGACATATACGTTTACATATACACACAAACAGTATGTATAGTCACGCACATATATACACAACGAAGGCATTCGTAATGTTTCATTAAGTCAAGTGATCTTCAAAAACAGCGACGGTGCTTTTGTGTTGGGCATTGCACAACCGCTGTCTTGCCGAAAAGGTGCAGCACCTCCAAGCTCAAGCCATGTTGCAAGTGTAGTGCTGCCTTGAGAATTTGCACTAGAGGGAATTGCATGTTGTTATTCTGAGGCACATCTCTAGCAAGTCTCGCCCTGCAGTCCTTGTGTCTTCACTGTCTGTCCGCATTTCTCTCGCACTGCCACTTTTCAAGATGGTGCAGCTCATTGTTAAAAGAGATATGCTTCTTGACACGTGCTACCCTATCTTTGAACCTAGACTGCGCCGTCGTGTCAGCAAACAAGGTTGCGCAGCTGCATGTTTTACAATGCAAAGACAGGTTAGAATATGGCTGTCTCCTTAGTGAAGCTTTATGATCCAAAAGAGTGATTTACACAATGTTCAACTTCTCCAACATAATGCTTCCCGCACAAAAAGAACGTTCGCAGTTATCAGAAGTGTGTGAATAGTGAATTTCGGAACCTAATCAAGTAAGAGTCAAATAGTAATGGCACCAAATAGAATACAAATAGTAATTGAATACTGTTTGAATAGTAAGTAGACCATTTTCAAAACAGCCTTAGAACAGAACATTTTATTTGAAACAAATAGTCACAAACTTTCGACAAAGGCCATTACAGTCAGTTTGAATCTACTCAAAATACCACAATTACGAAAACTAAGGTAATCTCGTATGCAGCAGGAACTAGAATATTCGTAACATTTTGTAATTGTAGGTTCAACTACGGCATTGACTAGCGTTATCAACGTGAGACTTTGTCACCTCACTTTAAATAAATTGGGACACAAAAACAAAACAATTTACAACCAAACATTGCAGATACAACTAAATATGTAACGGAGCAGATCAACCCGTCATCACAACATGGCCTGCGCACTAAAAGCGGATAACAATGGGCGTTGAAATTTACATCTGCAAGAACAATTTACGCAAACGCAAAACTTGTATCTGTTGCTAGTCGTGAAGCTGCAAGCACTCGTAGTTCCCACCTTTGGTTATTACAAGACGAAGACAGGAGCTGATAAATGCGATACAGCTAAAGTGCAGTAAAAATTGAGCAAGAATGGAGCTTTCAGAAGCGCATTCATTCGACAATCAATATAGTGTAGGTAGTCTTGCAAAAGCTTGGGCTGCGTACAGGTCACATTAGGGATTGAAAGAATGACTTGTAGCTGTTTCGTTGTTTTGGGGTTCTCCCGCCAGTGCCGATTATTAAAAGAATATTTGTTACTTAGAATATGTGCAATTCGATTCGACTTAGGAACCGAATACAGTGCTGTTTGATTCATTATCCAAAATTTCGAATAATCGAACATCCCTAGCAATTATCCCTGAAAGCTACACATATGAAGTACTAAGGAAAGGTTCATGTGCTACTGCAAGACTTGGGTCACGTTACGTCGCTTCCTTCTTTCCTACTAACTGTGCTTTGCTTTTTTGTTTAGCACAAGAAGGCTTCTGTGGAAGAAGTTGGCTGAGGCCATCAATACGGAGTTCTTGTGCAACGTGACTGCCACACAAGTGGAAAACAAATGGAAGTCGCTGGACAGAGCATATAAAAAGTCAAAAAAAGACAACAATTCTTCAGGTCACCACCGTGTGAACTGTGAATATGAAGAGTAAGTTACGATTGTGTCTTCATATCTTCAGTGATTCTCATAGTGTCTATTACAGAGAGCTGGCAGAAGTCTTGGAAAAAGAACATAGTGTAAATCCAAGGCTGCTCTTGGAGCCTGGAAAAACAATCCTGCCTAGTGCAAGTCCAGAGTAAGTAAAAATTACTTAATTTGTGCTGTAGCCTGGAAATGACATGGCACCTGTACAATTACTTTCAACAGCACCAGCATCACTGAAGCACCTCAAGATGCAGCAGTCCCAGTCGAGTGCAACACAGCATCCAAAGTTCGGAGCAGCACAACGCCAAAAAGGAAGCGCCAGAGTAGGTCCCAAGTCACGCCGCTCTTGGAGGCATTAGAAAAAATGCAAGCTTCGAGAGCTAAGCAAGAGGAGGCAGCAGTGAAACAACTGGAGGAAAGAAAAAAATGGGAAGAGGCAAAGGCAAAGCGGCATGATGAGCGCATGCAGCGATTCGATCGGTTGATCGACGTACTCTCAAATAAGGACGGGTTATAATATGGGCAATAAACTTTTATAACACTAGCAGTGTCTACTCCATCTAATTTGTTAAAAAAAAACATTGCTTCTAGACGCGGCACCCCACTTCGCAAAACATTTGCACACTGAATAAATCGCGAAGCAAAGATGAACTTCTAGCACTGTTCCTTTGCAATGAACTCTCGCAGAGACTGACTGTAGCCTGGCAGACTGCAATCAAAATCTCCTTCACTTTCATCATTGCCCACATCTTCTTCTTGGGGAAGCGTTGCAAGTTCCTCAAGGAAGTCCCTTTCATCGTTGCACATGTTGTGTAGCACACACGCAGCCATAACTATATAGCAGCACTGTTGCACACTTTTTGCATCAACAAGGTAGAGCCTCCTAAAACGCTGTTTAAGCAGGCCGAAGGTGTTCTCAATAAGCACTCGTTGTTGACTGTGTCGTTTATTGAAGCTCTTTTTCCACGTAGGAAAAGAACTTCCATTGTCCTTGAATGGGGTCATGAGCCATGGCATCAGTGGATATGCACTGTCACCCAGTATATAATTGTCTTCACATTCCTGAATTGCGCGTGCAAAGAAGGGGCTCTCCCTCAGGACACGGGCGTCGTGAACCGAACCTGGAAACCCAATAAACACGTTCAGCAACTTGTTCCTGTCGTCGCAGATTCCTTGCAGGATTATCGAAGGCCACTTTTTCCGGTTGAAGTAAGACTGCGTAGATTCGCTTGGAGTGAGTATCCCGATGTGTGATCCATCGATACAGCCGATGGTGTTTCTTGGGCCCTTGCCTTTACTTTTGGCGAGGAAGCCGTTCTTTATGCGGGTCACTTCCGCGCTACTAGGCCAGCAAATTATCTCATCGCTAATAGCGTGTAAGAAGTGAACGACCCGTGTCACACAAACATGAACAGACGACTCGGTAACATCGAATTTGTCGCCTATGGCGTACATAGATATTTGTGAGCCTAGGTACACAAGCGCTATGAGGCATGTTTTTTCGGCACTGATTTGTTGGCGGCCTTGCACTGCCCTTGGGTAGAAGGCTGAAGTCTTGAACTTGGCCCTGAAACTATCAAAAGTCTCCCTGGACAGCCTGAAGAGGCGCTTGAATTCATACTCATGGTACCTGCCGATAATGCTTTCGTACCCGGGTACACGGTTGGCATCGTCGCGCACCAACGCGCACGCGACCAAGATGCACGCATCGTCGTACTCATCGTCGCAGTCACTGCAAACGGCACCGCTGACGGAATCGTCGTCGCTGCTCGAGTCCAGCAATTCCATCGCAGTCACAAGAAGTGCCATCACGGCCGTGTATTGATCGGACAAGGCGGCGGAGGCGGCTATTTTAGGCTTACACTACAAGGTGTTCTCCGGCCTGCACTCACGTCAACTCACGCCTTCGTTTTGGCTGTAGCCGTCGCGCGCTAGTGTCGGCTAGTGCCGAGGCGTGGTTGAGGCTGCACCTGCACTTGCTCGACCGGCGCTGCACGCTCACTGCACCGCTTGGCACCGCTTTTTCTGCACCTGCACTTTTCTGAACTAGTGCAAGCCAAATCGAAGATTCCTTGTGTCGACTTTCACGATGCCCACCAGGGGCGCTGACGCTTGACGCACCTGAAAAACTTCTCTTGGTTCGTGTTGGCCGTGTTGGCGGACGGGGCTGGTTCGCTCAGTTCAGTTCAATCGGTTCGATTGGATCAACGTGGGTACCCCGTGTGCGTGTTCTGTGCTTTATGCTTGGATCATTGTGTAGTATGTGTTCGTGAAGATTCCTAACCGCCGTCGAAATTACTGTTTTGCGCCCGGTTGTCGAACCGGGTACAGTCGTGTGCAGGATGCACCACAGGCGTCTTTGTTCAGCATCCCGCGTGATGAAGAACGGCGGAAGGAGTGAGAAAGAAATCTCCACCGTGCAGATAAGAAACTGGATGAGTTTTATGCGGTCTGCGAACTGCATTTCTAACCGAGGTTCGTTATCAAGGAGTTCGTGCACCATATAGATGGCAAAGAGGTACGCATTCCTCGTGATAAACCGATGCTGTCGGAAAACTCCGTCCCCACGATTCTTCCAAATTTGCCGCAGTACCTCACGAAGAAGATGCCAAAACCGAGAGCTAAAAGGAAGATGTGCGAAAATGACCATGCAGCCGCAAAGAAAAAGAGCCGAAGTGCTCTCGAGACTGACTGTACTGAATTTCCACGGGCTGCTATTGGTGATTCAGGGGAGGACAGCGACTTCACACAGGATGACGTTCCAGCGGAGCCCGAGCATTGCTTGTCGTTTTGTTATTGTTTAAAGACTCCTTCCAAGTAATGGTGCATATCAATGTGTAAATGTCTGGATTTGCCATTATTCATCCTTTTTTTACCCTAATATTTCTTGTGCAAATTCTTTCATCACTTATTTGTAAATAAACATTATTTCATCAATTTACATGGATTTTTATCATTTCTTTTTAATTTGCTACGTCATTAACTTGATGGATACACGAAATATGAAAATTCAGAGGCAATGAATGGAATGGACTCTGGCAGTGAAGGACAGGAGCGGGTGTAAATCAATGAAAGAGGTCTCCGTCCTGCAGGACCTAACAGGCTGTTGATAATAATGATGCTACGTCTTGTTTACAGCAAGAATCACGCCACACACCAATCATCACCTAAAGTCTCGAAGCAGCGATGCTAGAATGTTAAACGTCGTGCGTGGTTGTCATGGTGGTTAAAGTTTGGGTTTAGGGCGCGCATTCCTGCAGCAGGCACGTAATCAAGAAAAACCCGGCGTGGAGGCTGTCTAAGGCGTTGTACTGTTGAACCCAAGGACGTGTGTTCGATCCTAGCCGCGGTGGCTGTTCTCCTGACGGAGGAGAAAAACGAAACAAGCCGTGTGTCGGCATTTCGGCTGACGTTAAAAATTCTAAAGGGATCTAAATTAACCTGCAGCCCTCCGCTATGGCGCACCTCATAGCGGAAGTGTGGCTTCGGCCCGTTAAACTCCAAAATTTTAATTCTGACATTGCGAAAAAAAAAAAGTGCGTAGTGTTTTTCGCACCTCGGAACCGCAGTCGACATGACCGCTGCATTAGCGAAACCACTTTGAACATTTAAACGGCCGGAAAATAATACAATGCCAGTTGCTTCACGCCCTGCACACTGATAATATGCCCCAAAAGAAGTGTCGTGCATTGCATGTCGCGAACGTTGCATAATTTCTGGCATTTCCACAATTGCGCTGTGGCTCTCTACTTCGGCGCGCAAAGGAGTTTCAGGTGACGCTGCGAACCGCGCCGCCTCTCGGCGTCGACACGAAGTGGGTCACCCACCGCCGCCTGTGAGCACACTGCCTCTATTCTAGTACACTGTACATGTAGGCCGAAGAAGGGATAAATTATCGAAATAATGTTTAGGACCACTGCTAGATGTTCAATGCAAAATGCAAAACATAGCAAGCAAGTTACATAATAATAATAATAATAATAATAATAATAATAATAATAATAATAATAATAATAATAATAATAACCCGAACGAGTATATAAAGCGCAGTGCGTGAAATATTCCAGTGAGCAAGCTTCAAAAAAATTAACCAATTTTATTATTTTGCAACTCTCCTGCAAAAAATGCTTGGGGGTGTTCGTATAAAACATGAAGTGATGCGCGCTTACATAACTTATAAACAATTAATGACTTGAAGAACGTACTTTCAAGCTTTGTCATGATATCTGATACACGATGTTGTGACGAAAAATAGTTTAACCATGAAAGCATATTATGCTGCGAGGCAGTTCATCTCTCGCAACTTACTGAATGGTTACGAAAAGATATGCTTATTAGAAATGTTGAGTGCCATATATTCGTTTCAAATATACCATTGCTTGCAGTCTTCCACTGGCCATTTTTTCTACCAACTTTTTTTTTTTTTCAGCTTTGAAAATAACCGCATACATTCAGCCAACTGGGGGGGGGGGGGGGGTGATTTTAAATGAAAAGAAGAGAAAAAGAAAAGTGAGCCCCGTAACTGTTTCCCGTGGGTAAACACCTCAACAGTTCACGAGGGATGGGGGTAGAGAAGGGAATAAAAGGATATTATTAAAAGGTAGAGAGATAGAGAGAGAGAGGAAGGAGAGAGCGAGGCGCAGGGACAGGGAGCGACGGAATTAAGGAGAAAACAGGAAAGAAGGACACGGTTGCAGGAGTCCGATAGGCATTGCGCCGTGCTCCCGACCGGGTTGCAAAAATTAGGTGCCTTTTCTCATCTTCTAACCACTACCAGGAGTCCGAGGACGGGGCTAGGGTGGCTGGAATGGCCGCCCTAACGGGGCACCACTGGGAGCTCTTGTCGGCGACAGGAGATGGCGTAGGGCTAATTCAGTCGGCCAGAGCCACGACCTCCTCTATATAGAGGAGGTCGGGGCCAGAGCTACGAGTCGGAGATCGCGAGGGCACAACCGGTCGGCACGGAATCCAGCGAGCGAGTGGAAGTGGTGTGTAGGTGTTCTGTGGTGGTACTACATGATTTTGGTATAGTTACCATGGCAACTGTTTACAAACTCAGACCTCCATGTGTGCGCGAACGTTGCTCGAATCACCTCCAAGGGAGCTCTTTCTACAGTTCCTGCGACGCTAGTGAAATACTCTACATTGCACGTCACCCGGCCCATAACTTCGCGATCTTCGTCCGAAACTCAGAATGATGGATTCTCGACCAACAACGTCGTCATCTAACAGACCTCAGTCTCCAAACATACGGTCCTTCACCGCGGCCACACAGCGCAGCGGACTTCTTGGCGCAGTTAGTCGCCTAAGCGGGCGACCGGGCACCCGCGCAGGCCCTCCTACGGCAATGCTTTCGCAAATGAACATTCCAGAGCGGCCTATGACCCAGCATGGCCTTGTGGCGCCTAAGACTGGTTTTAAATCGTCACAGCGACAGATTCAAGACAAAAGTTATTTTATCGGCTTGCTGAGAGCAAAAATGACAGAACTGAGTGTGGAGACTAATCACTTGCAACGAGAAAATGAATTACTTGCACAAGAGCAAGCTACTTACTCGTCATATGAAAAGAAAGCAGAAGCTTTAAGTGCTGAACTAAAGGAGCTGCAAGGTGAAATGGCGGACTACAACTTGCTTGTCGACAAGTTGAACACGGATGCAGACATGGAAGATGTCAAGGAAGAGTACAGAGAACTTAAGGTAATAATAAAAGTAGTTTATTTTTAGCTCATAGAGCAAGCTCCCAAGTTTTGCCACTTACCCCTGTATTCAGAAATGCACCTTATTTTGAAGCCACAACTTGATTTGGTCAAGTCAGGCTCACCCTAACATATGGTGTAAATACATCCAACATAACACAGTTAGTGTTTTTGGCATGTTCACATATGGTGTTATCTGAAGCCAGACATGACAAAGTTATTGCTTCAATATATTCAAGGCAGATTCTCCTTGGTGCACAGGTGGCTTCGGTTATTTTAGTAAAGCAAGGAAAGGTGTTAGTTGGTGTACGACTGTGCAGCACATTCTTGCACACTGAAAGAATATAAGCAAGGATGAAGCGCAGTGCTATTTGGGCTTCCTCCTTCTAGCATCTTGTGTTATTTCAGTGCAGAAACTCAAAACTATGCAATCATACTATATTTAATTTTTCACTTGTGGGCATCTGTTCCTTTGGTTAAACGGTGCATATAGGGTATCCCAAATATCACACAGCACCGTTTTAAAAAAGAGCAACGTTGTTATGCCAAGCACACCTGATGCATATTGTATCCTGTATACAGTAGTAATTTATGTTAATTATGTTTGGTTAATTATTCTTAATTACATTTCTAACTTGACAAATACTCACGTAATCATTAAAATGCCAATGAGACTTTCAACAACGTACAATGACACGTCACTTGACTGCACTGCACATCAGGAAGCAGCGTCCTCAAACAAAGTCACTGTAAAGTAGCAGGTCAAGACTGCACTCCAATCTTTTGCAGGGGGAGCTTAGTCGCATGTTATTTTTCATATTTTACGTACTTTTTGTTAGCCGGAAAAAAATCCAGCTCGTAATTGGCACGTTTCTGAGAATAGGAGTTAGATGTTATTTGAACATGCCTACATATGCCTCATTGACATTTTGATAATTAGGTGAGTATTTGCTAGTTTTAATTATAATTATGGGTAATTAACTGAACCTCATTAATAAAATAATTAGGAGTGACTACTGCAGTATACTGGGAACAACTTGGACAAGTTTGCCTCGTATAATGACGTTACTCTTTTTTTTAATCATGCTGCTTGATATTTAAGACCCCCTGTATATTCTATGACTGTTTCAAGAGCACTGTACAAAATGTGTAATATATGAATAAATGTAACAGAAGCACATAAACCACATACACGTATGCAAGCAATGCTTTGTTCTAAAACTTTTTTTTTCATTTTAGATTTATTACAGCTCTCTAGTTATTCTTTCGAAGGAGCCCTGCAACACTCTTCCAAGTAATCATTGAATGATTTTAAAGGAGCTTTTTGTCTTACAAAATTGATTGCTGCTAAAATTTTTAGAATCGATCAACTATGAGCAGTTACAGGGATTTGCTGCACGCTTTAAACACATTCTCTCTCTTTTTCTACCAGAGCACATGCTGAAAGCTATGCAGAGGGGGGACGAAAAGGATAAGTCCATTCGTCTGTAGATGTCATGAGGTTGAACCCTTCCTTCTCTTTTTTTTTCTTCTTTGAGCTCGTGGCTTACTTTCAGTGTAATTGCAAGTGTGCGCATGGGAACGTGGTAGCATCTTGCGGAACCCACAGTAACTATCTGGCTCACGATGCTCAAATCAGTCAATGGCTGCAAACTTGTGAGTTTATGCTGCCACCATTTGGGTATCTGGTATCTCACATTGTTTGTCGAGTGAGGATGAAGCGATTTCAAGCTGACTTTGGGAAAAAGTTGTAAGTTACAGGTCACATGCTGCACTATAATACATCTGGCTCATGTGTTCTTAGGAGCCTCGACGACTGATCAGCAGCATCTTCTGACCATTATCAAAAAGTGTTGCAGTGTTTCTTTAATGATAAGAATTGGGGGCAGAAACATCATGAGAGTTGGCAAGGAAAAAAGTCAGATGCAAAAGAGAATACAAACACAAACAGGCACTACAAAGATGGTACAGATATTTGTTGTATCCTAATTTATTTCATTTTTCTGACAAACCACTCTTTCACAGACTTTAAACCTTCTTCAGCTTATTTGTTGCAGACATTCCTACAAGTTCCACCATTTTCCTGCATCTCTACCTATGTGGCTAGCAGAGCTCTGGCAACCCCACTGAAGTTTGTATAACAAGTATTTTTTTCAAACCTGAAAATGGGCTGGAGTGAATGAGGTGTCTTCAAATTAAGTTATTCCACAAGGCATTTAAAAAAATGGAGAGAGGCTCAAGACTGGCAGCAGAGAGAGAGCAATTTTCTACGTGGGATAGTGGTGTAATTATGTTTGGCTTGTGTGTTCATATCAGCAGTGTCTAAAAATTGCTAATTATTTCTTTCTGTGTAAAAAAAAAATGTTGCAGTGCCTCTTGTAAGTACACATTTTTTAAACTCTTCACATACTGCTCTTACCAATTCCTATTATGCCTTTTAAAATATTGAAAAAGTATGTTTGCTTTAAAAAGAAAAAAAAAACATGCTCAATGAGTCAAAGCATTGTGAAAAAATATAGAAATAATATCTGGGGTTCAACGTCCTGAAACCACAATATGATTATAAGAGACTCTATAGTAGAAAGCTCCAGAAATTTCGACCACCTGGGATTCTTTAACATGCACCTGAATCTGAGTACACGGGCCTCAAACATTTTTGCCTCCAACGAAAATTCAGCCGCTGCAGCCGGGATTCGATCCCGTCACTTTTAAGTTAGCAGTCAAGCGCCATAACAACTAGATAACCCCGGCGGGCCTTGTGAAAAGACAATACACACTCATAAAATAAATTGGAATGTACTGTAAAAATTTTCTCGATCATATGTCAATCCTAACAGATCTATTACACAAAACTAAATATCTACTATTCCTGGTGCATGCAAACATTCACGAGACAAAACAATATAATCCAAGGTTCAATAAAACACTGTCTCATGAGGGGCATACATTTCTTGCAAATAAACAAACATTTGCTGAACTTGCAATGAAGAAAGGATTCATAACATTTTCAGGCACCTACGGGTCCTTTAATTGTTCACATACAAGCGAATAAAGTTGGGTCATGCCTTCAGCATTCAATCGGGCATGTGGCAATCTACACCAGATCATTGCACGGTCTACTGCGTATATAAAGGCTCGGCCCAAGTTCATTCATTTGTATGTGAACAAGAGACCTTTAGAGGTCTTGAAACTTCATTGTTTCTTTTCATTGCAACTTTGGGGAGTGTTCGTTATTTTGCAGGAAACAGAGCAATAAATTCGACAGCATTAAACACAGAAGATAGACACAACAAGAGACACATAATTGGATATCCATGATTCAGGTAATAACCTTTATTCTCGAGAAAGTGCGTCAAAGTATTCAGGGCATCAAGAGCTACACCATGTCTGAGCACTGCTATTAGAGTGCATGGGTGGTAATAAGCTTGTAAAGACACCTGAAAGATCATAAGTTGTTTTTGTGCTGTTTCCCCTCGAAGTGGCCGTGTAATTGTTGACACTCCCATCATTTATAAATACACAGAAACATTATTCTCTTGTGCAGCCAGTAGAGTGTTCTTTCATTTCAATTATTAGAGGCCTCTTGTTTAGCCCACTATCTGGCCTCACTGGCTGGCATGGGTGTTTGGTCTTATTAAATTCACAGTTCATTGGATTTATTTTTCTGCGCTGGAACTAGGAGAAAGTGACCAAATATTCACAAATTGTTGTTAACGTCTGTAAATTTGGCTTAACTTTGTTTGAGCAGTAGTCTATTGTATATTGTACTTTTCAACCTAGGAAGCTTAATTAGATAGAAATTTATTGTTGGCACTGCCCTTGTGGTAATGTTACCATTTTCTACATGTTAAAATGAAATATGGCTCCTGTTTTTTTTATACTCAAAGAATGAAGGCAATTGCAAAACTGTAACAGTTTATATATATTTAGTTCTGCGTGTACATGATAAGAGAAAACCACAGTCATTTACAAGCACTGATGTCTCAACATTATTGCCACTGATGCTAAAAAATGGTACTTCATAGACTCTTAGTTATATTTGCTGTATAACTTATACCATAAAAAGAACTAACATTAAAAGCAACTACAGCATTATGCCCCGCCGCGGTGGTCTAGTGGCTAAGGTACTCGGCTGCTGACCCGCAGGTCGCGGGTTCGATTCCCGGCTGCGGCAGCTGCATTTCCGATGGAGGCGGAAATGTCGAGGCCCGTGTGCTCAGATTTGGGTGCACGTTAAAGAACCCCAGGTGGTCAAAATTTCCAGAGCCCTCCACTACGGCGTCTCTCATAATCATATGGTGGTTTTGGGACGTTAAACCCCACAAATCAATCAATCAATCAACTACAGCATTATGCAGTGTTCAGTAAGGCACTTAACTACAATGAAACACAGGGATCAATAAGTTTTTCACTGTGATGTCACTATACACTTATCTATGGCTTTTTTCATATTTCCTAGAGCCAGAATGACCAGGAAGTGAACAGCGTAGAACTTCTGTTTGAGCAGCGGCAAGACCGTGAGCGCCAACTTCGCCAGCTTGAAGTGGAGATCGAGCAGGAAAGGAACATGGCTGATAACATAATAGCAGCAATGCAACCAGAGCTACGCCATAGGTACCGCAGACCAGGCACACAAAATAGGCCCCTAGCGAAATTCACTTTCATCTTCCTAAGATTGTTTGTGATTGCAGTCACATATCCATCAGTACTAAAGCTCCAGGCTAGCTTTTTCACCACAGCACTGCTTGCACAGAAGTGATGCGTGCGCTTTAGATGAGAACTTATGTTACCAAAGTGCACACAATATATTGGTTTGAATTACAAGCCAGTCCTTAATGCTTCATGCTGATAGCTATACAACATGCATACATGCATATAATTCTGCTATCGCTACTGCAAATGCCAAGTTATTCAACAGCTTTTGATATCTTGGTGTTTTTGTGAGGTGTCTTCTAAACACGTAAATGTGATGCCATCCCTAAAAAACTAAACTTCTTTTTCTTGTTGTGTACACTGCAGCTTTGAAGTAGAAGCTGTCTGTATATTACTGCCATATACTGACAAAGTGCCACATATAGAAGTGACAGAAAAGTGATACAGAGAAGGAGAGAAGTCCCACAGAGAAGTGAGAATTGCCAGATAGGCATGCATGGCTCTTCCAGCTAAACCACTAGCCAAGTTCAGCTCGAATTTCACTAAGAGGTACCATTTTGTAGGGGTCTGAGCAAGTTTCAAACTGGGTTTGTGGTGAGCATTGTTTGCCTGTTTCATTCCTAGCAAACTTAAAGTGCATTCCCTGTAGCAGCACCTCTAGAAAACATTGACGTTGCTGCAATGTAATGATGACACCCTCTGTCACCACTACAGTGTTTCGAAATATCAGTGGGTGATGTGCATTCAGACCTATGCTACCTTTGCGTGAAAACTGGGCAAAATTGGCCAATGATTTAGCTTGAAGAGTTCCATGCGTATAGGGCCCCTGTTTATGCAACATTCAGTACTTATAGGCATGCCACTGCCTTCCTTTCTGGTCAGGCTAGTGCTTAATAGCTTCATATAATGTGCCCCTTTTTTGTGATTTTTTTCAAATAAATTTCATTTCACATTGGTTTTACAAATGCATTTCAAATAACATTACCACTAAATCTCATGTTTTGATTTTTTTATGTTCCTCATTATCCCATGCAAAACTCAAAACATAATTTCAGGTAAAAGGGCCTCTCTTATCATAAAAAGTGCTTGCAATACTTTAACAGTCTTCTGTGGATAGTTGAGAACAGGTGTGAAAAGCCCGCCACTGCAAAAAGTGTGTTGCTTAAAATGCAGTATTGTTTGTGCTATAATATTCAGACCAGTACATGTGTTTCACTTGAAGAGGGAACGAGGTTCTTAAAAAAAACTTTTTTATTATTATCCTACTGTCATGAAAATTACCATGGATAGGTACTATTGAATGGAGATTTCAAATCTGCAAACAGATTTCAAATATCAAAATTTGGAAGAAAAGTAATGATAAATTTACAAATTATAATGAGGTAATTTTTTACAGGTCATTATGATAACTCAAAATAAAAACATTAGTTTCCAAAACTACATGATCCTCTAAAAGGTTCATCCCACAGGCTAAAGCAAACTGTAAAAATGGCCATTTCTTTGATAAAAAATAATTTTGAAATTTGGAAGGTAGAAATGAGCTTCCAGTAATTAGCTGGCATTTATCATATAGTTACAATTCTATCAAGGTTGAGAGAAAAAGAACAACTTTAGCCTATAGTTCAAGTGCTGTGGAAAAAAGTAGTACCAAGCTTTTTAGATATTTTCACAGAAACTTGCTCAAAACTTCCGTAAGGCAAATTCACTTCACAAAATTAATTATGCCAAGAAAATTACATTTCGAGTTTCAAGAACATTTGCGATTTCATATATTAAGCTTTTAACAAAAAGAAATGGTATTTTGCCACAATATAAAGTTTTTACAAAACATGCTTTCAACTATAAATACCTCAAATTGCAATTTTTGAAAGTCAGCATTTTTTACAATTTTGTGCTATTTCAAGACCCTCGTCCCCCCTTGAAACAACAAACTAGCAAAGCATCATAAATGCAGTAGCGTGTCATTCATAAAGTGGAAAGGAGCACTAACTGATGTATTGCTGATTAGCTATCACCAAACTGTGATTTTCTTTTCTGCTACACGAATAGAGTGCCCTTTCACAGTATCTTATTATCACGTAACATCTCTGAAATATTCTAGCAAGAGTGAACCCATGAATTCGTAAAAAAAGAGAATGCTAACAAGTTGTGCTCTATCACTTTAATATTTTCACTAGATACCAGTAAATATTCAGATAATTGAACTTGATTTAAATAACTAAACACACACACATCATTCAGAGAGAAAGCTGCACAGAGATTCATTCTTCTTTACATAATAAAGTTATGGCATTGGTACTTGATTTCTGCCAGGTGCTGAATTCAGTACAAAACAACTGGTCAAGATCTTTTAGACTCTGCGTAGCTTACCTGTTAATATACTTTTTACTTTTAAATAAACTTTGTTTTCTTATGGGCTAGGTATACAGAGCAAAAGGACATTAATCAATCACTTGTTGACCAACTGGACAAACTACAACAGCAGCTTCAAGGTCTTCAGTTGCAGAAAACTGCCTTAGAAGACGATATTTCATTGTCTCCGGTAAGTTGTGACCTTTTTTCGCACTACATGAAGTATAGTCTCATTTGTGCTGCACACTCAAACTTCGATATAACAAACCTGTATTTAATGAAATATTGGTTATAGCAAAGTAAATGGGAAATGGTCTTGCGATAGGTAACAGTGTTAGGAATAACCTTAGTAACAAATTTTCTGATATCACAAACTTATTTTCTTGCAATATTCCACTTTGTTTAAATGAGGTCTAAGTGTATTTGAGCAAAGGTAATGAGATATTTATCCATCCATCCCCCAACGTCGCCAGTCTCGTTCTCCAAAGCCCCGTCGACGGTCTTCCCCCGCCTTCCCACGAGGTTCCCCGACGGAAAAATAAGTGTTGCAGCCCCCGGAGATGGCGCTGCATCGCTCAGACTGACAGAAAATTCTCTCTTGATGATACAGACAAAACTGAACCTTATAGACGTACAAGTATACGGCATACATGTCACTGCTCTTGTCCACACCGGCGCTCAACTTTCCGTGATGACGAGTGATTTTCGCCGCAAGCTCAAGAAGATTCTCACACCTGCGACCACTCAGTTCGTCCGTGTTGCGCATGGCGGAATGGCATCTATTGTTGGAATGTGCTCCGCTCGTGTAAGCATTGCGGATCGACACACAGTTGTTCTCTTCACCGTCTTTGATAAATGCCCCCACGACGTAATCTAAGGCCTCGACTTCCTGTCCGTGCATTCTGCCCTGTTCGTAGCGTACTGTTCGACCAGTACGCTACGTTTACACTTGCCCGCAACAGAACCTCTTGCAAAACGCCCGAGTCGCTTCTGCACAACGGGACATGCGCGCCTCCCTCCACAGACGCTGACCTACGTAGAGCTCGTCTCAATACCACCAGTTCCCGACGGTGACTATGTTCTGATCCCTACCACTGATGTCCTTATAAACTGCAGCATTACATTACCGCACACCATTCTGTCCGTCGCAAGAAATTCTACGTGCCTCCCAGTTGTCAACTTTAGCTTGACACCTCAAGTGCTGCCACAAGGGATCTCTTTGGTGTTGCTCTGCACCTTAGAAGACAATGCGGTAGATGTTTTCACGATGGCCGCTCCTTCTGACCCCCACGCTCAAGATCAATTTGACACTTGCTCCAACAGCGCTATTACGTCGATGGTCGCTTCCAACTTAACGCCGCAGCAGACTGATGAGCTCCACTGGGTTCTGCTGTCCTACATCGACCTTTTTGACCTTAGCGGCCGTCCGTTGGGGAAAGCTACTGGTATGACCCACCGCATAAACACTGGTAATGAGCATCCTATTCATAGGCGTCCATATCGGGTGTCGGCAACCGAGCGTCACATTATCCAAAATGAGGGCGACAAAATGCTCGCCAAGGACATCATTGAGCCATCCTGCAGTCCTTGGGCTTCTCCTGTAGTGCTAGTCTGCAAGAAAGACGGTGCATGGCATTTCTGCATTGATTATCGACACCTAAACAAAATGACCAAAAAAGACATGTACCCTCTGCCACGAATAGATGATGCGCTTGATTGCCTCTATGAGTCCCACTATTTTTCCTCCATAGACCTTCGTTTCGGCTACTGGCAGATAAAGGTAGATGAAATGGACCGTGAAAAGTGTCTATTACCATGGTCCATAGTGTCTATAACCATGGTCAAAATGTAACGAAAGTTATGTTTTCTTGTGGTGTTCTTAAGCTCTATAGAGCTTAAGAACACAACAAGCGGCATTAGGCAGCTGAGCTCTGCAGAAAAGCCAGCCATTTGGTTCTCAGAACAATATACACACTTGTGTGTAACTCCGTATCATGATAAAAAACATGGCTTGTGAGCACACATTTAATGGGTCAACAAGCTGTGAAACCACTCATGAGCTGTCTTTTACTGACATAGGTGAAACAGGAAGCAGTGAAGCTTTATGAACGGCTGAGGGAACTGGGAGAGAAAAAAGCACTTTTGGAGGAAGAACAGAAGAAACGAGGGACTCCAGCCCAGGAACGGGAGCGACTGCTTGCTCAGGTGTGGTTTATAGAAGATTGGATGTGTCTTTGATGAGACATGAAAAATTGCAATTAAACATGAAAGACATGAAAGTGCAATTAAACCGGTTAATATCTTTATGTTTGCAGTAGGATTTTCTATTGCCAGTCACAAGTACATTTACACATGTGTACATATGCCACAAGAATGTGGACAAAAAAAGTATTGATCTAACCTGCAGAAGAGTGGCTACTTAAGCTGGTTGGTATTGCATTTTTGAAAAAAATATACTTTATTAGTGCACAGGAAATGCTTCAGAAAGAATACAGATAGGACAGAGTGCACAATTACAACTATTTTATTGCGCAGATGGCGCGAATTTTATACACAGCCACGAGGGTGAGGGGATGACACGCAGGAAAAAGGATGGGACATGCACCAGAACATCTTATTGAAATTTAATTAATTTGTCATTTCAAAATTTGAATAATATGTTCTGGTGCATGCACCATCTTTTTTTCTTTTTTTGTGTGCGTCATCTCCTCGCCCTCTTGGCTGTGTATATATATTCACACCATCTGTGCAGTAAAATGATTGTAATGTGCACTCTGTCCTATCTGTCTTTTTCTGAAACAAAAAAAAATATTTCTTTCAAAAATGATCTAGCCTGCATAACCCACTGCCTCTAAAAGATATAAAATGGCCCACAATGACATTTCATGTTGTGCTCAAATAGAGTGCATACGCTTTTTAATTGCCTGTGGCGCAACAGCAGTAGAGGTAGTGTATGGTATGTAACGTGACCAGCATCAAACTTGGATATAAAGTGAATTACAATGTGCATAAAGCTGCTCTAACTCTGTGAACATCATTAATGTAAATTATTTTCTTTATACTATAAAATGCTGGGCATGAATACTCTCACTGCATAAACAAGCCTGAACTGTGCTTTATTTCTTGAGCAGCTTTTAATTTTATGTCACCATTATCATCCACTTATTATGACCAGCTGATCCTATGATGACAGCTAGGTGTAAAAAGTAGCCTTGACTGCGGGCAGAATTAAAGCTTGAAAATCAGTGGCATCTGACAAGGCATCGCTACGAAATTTTGATCCTACTTTTCTGCCTAACTCGCAACTGCCTTGAGAAAATACAGTCTTCTTAGGGTCTACAAACAATATGCTTGGCCTTACTCTTTTCACGAGATCAGTTCTCCAATCGACAATCGTCACAGTATTTTCCTTAACTTTGCAAGCTGGTGGGCCTTCACAGCAGATTACAGCTTGGAAAGCAAGAGGTGTCAGTGTGGCTCCCATATATTTACTTTACATCAAACTCAGGATTGTGCTCTGGCAGTTCAACTCAATGGCCGACAGCACTGTTACAAGTAATTAGACACAAGTGTTGGGAAGCAAACTTAACGATTGAGTCAGGTTAATGCACCTGTACATTTATAGCCATTTAAGAAACTGATAGTGTTTCCTGGAAAGAAGGAAATCCCTTTCAAGTGCTGGTACATAAAACAGTTCTTAAGCAGTGCTTGGCAGTTTCAGTGAAAGTTACACAACATTCAGGAACATTATGGAACATATTGTGTATTAACATAGCAGCATAAATTTATTCAGATGTTCACCTGAATGGCTGTACTGACTGTGTCACTGACTGTCTCTGACACCGACTGCAACTGCCACTGACTGTCAGTTAAAACTGAGCCAGTCAATGACTATGACTGTGTTAGGATGGCATTGTAACCAAAGTCAAAACTTGCAGGTCAAGGAAGACAACAGTGAACTATCAAGCATGGAGAGGCAGGCATCTGAGGCACGCGAGCGCTTAGGAAAACTGCAGGAGGAACTCGCTCAGCTTGACCAAGAGTTAGAGGAGCACAATGGAGAACGACAAGCCAAGTATCAGGAACTCCGCAAGCGGGAAGAAACAATGGATGCTTTCCTTGAGAGCTTTGAAGAGGTCCGTCAAGATGAACACAAGCGCCAGGAAAAGCTCCAGGTTTGTGGTTCTGTACAATGCATCCTTTTTGTTACGTCTCTTGAACTTGGCTGCACTGTCTGGCATGGTTAGGCTTTTCCACACAGTTAAGATGAGCAACAGCACTTAACCATCTGTGCACCTTTACTTGGCTTAAACAAGGAAGCAGTCATGCCAGAACATTCTCAATATTTCCAGAAAAGCATGTGCGAAGTGCTATCAATATCTTGCATATAAGAAGTTTTGAGCTGTCATACAGTGAGGCTTGTCTTTACGGCATAGACATATTTTTATACATAAGTGCAGCCAAGTGTTCTCTGCATTACCCCCTCACACAACCGTCCAGGAATTTAGCAACAATCAAACATTATTTTATTATTTCAGTTCATTTTTAGACATGCAAATACATGTTTTTGACAATGTATTGTAGCAAAAACAATACTTGAAGTGTACATCGTAGTATGGTAGTAAAAGGCTGCCTGGATTATTGAAAAAATGGCTGCAATTTTAAAAACTCATCACATTTTGTCATTGCCATTGAGTGACACTGAGGCAGTGCACACATATAAATTGTAATAGTGCATTAAACAATGAAAGTAAAAAAAAGTAACATTATCTGAGAACATGTGTACGTAATTGTGAAAAGACAGTTGTTCTGGTTAGACACGTGTGCCTTAGCAGATTTCCTGCCATCTCTGCAGGGGGAAATTGTGCAACTTCTTGAAAGCTGCTCACGCTCTTTACCTCACTTTTTGACTTTACCAAGCCAAGAAGAAATGGCCGTACTCAAGGATGACCTGATGTAAGTAGTAGACAGATTGACAGAGATTATTAACAGTACTCAGAAATTAAAATGTGATACTTATTGGCATGGTGGTGGACACTTTTTTGCCACTGGAGAGCACTAGGTGGTCACTGGGAGAACAAATTCAGTCATAATACTTATGGGATCAGCTTATTTGCTTTCATCATATAGCACTTTGTATCAGCTCAGCATTCCCGGCATTGAATAGTGGTACAAAAACCACTGGCAGCCATGCACTCCAAGTGTTTCATTTTAATACACAAAAAAACACTCTTTCTCAATAAGAAATCAGAATTATTACTTTGAATATTGGCAATTTATAAACATTTATGTATTTAAGAACATAATAGAAGTTTTTAGTAAAAATACTGTACAAACACAAACTTTTTTTTGTGTGTAAAAGGGGCTTGCCCACATGGCAATGTTTCTTGAAGTCAGTTTTTTAACTATTCAGAAGCTGGCAATACTGCATTAATATAAAACTTGAATTTATGTATTTTTCTCCTGTTTCAGATTTAAGGAAACTGAAATGGAGAAGTCTAAAATGACACTATCTGCTCTAGGGCTGGAGCAGAAAAAGCTGGCAGTGGATTTGCAGAAGGCAAGTCAAACATTTGCGCCCTCGTGATTCGATTACCGGATTAGTCAATAGTCACTGAAGTTGAAAAGCAATTGAACTAATTTTTCTTATTGTATGCTTTTATTATAAGTTCATTTTAATTTGGGTTAATGATAATTTAGTAGACAAATGGTAGAAAAAAAGAATAGTGGAACACACGAGCAACACGAACCAATGCTTTCTAGTCATGTGTGATAATATAACTTTGTCTTGTTGTGGAACACATGTCTACAGTCAGTATGCTCAGAGCATCTCATTGCATTAAACGCTTTCTACAGCTATTATGAAACAGCCAGAAAATCCTTATGGATTTTGTTTATGTATGTGAGTGAATATTAAGGCTTTGTTACACTATTGGCTTTGCAGTTGATAACTTCAGTTCTGCCTACTTGTATATTTACCATTACACAGCTTGAAATCAAGGTAGTGTTTTGTTTTATAGTATCTTAAGATGGGGTGATACTTGTTTTGATAAAAAATTTATATTTTTAGATTTTGCAATAATTTGATAGAGAATCTCTTTATATTCTAGTAAATGTATCACATTTGGGCACCCTTGGTTTCAAAAACAATTCTTGGTTCTTTTTATTTGACATGTTAGCAGAAAATGTGCATGTACCTTAGCGTTGTTTCTCAGTTTTTTAAAAACAACATTTTTGGAATTTGCGTACCTTTTTTTTGGAGTTATTGAGCATAAGCAAACAAAATTTTTTTCACACAAACATAAGCAAACAAAAGTTTTAATTAGTGGAATATTCATAACTGGTACTAGAATCAGTAGCCTAGGTGCATTTGTAATTTTTCATTATATAAAAAAGTTCAAGTAGATTTTTTTATACATCAACAAATGAGACAAAACATGAAAGATCTAGTTTTTGTTGTACACTAGCAATTCTAGTTCCACTTCTATAAAGAGTTAATAGAAATTTTTTTGCAAAATTTCAATGGTTCACTGATAGCAATTAGCAGTGTTATAAAAAAGTTCAGATGTTGGAAAAAATAATAAAAAGGTGAACACAATATGAAACTAATCTTGAGCCTTAATGCAACATTCATCTATCTCTAAAATACGTTATACCTTATAGCCATAGCTTTTATTACCATTGCTGCACAGCCAAGCTTTGAAACTCGCTTTCGAAGTCTCACTCCACTTTAAGTGGGGATGGTACAGTAATGTGTCACTTTGTTTATAGCTCTTTATCCTAAAGCTACAGTATACATTAATATGAAACTTAGTATTTGAATGGGATGTTATTCAGCCTAATTTTCAGCAGTTCTTTTGTTGTTGCTGCACCATCATAAATTAATAGTTTCTGAGCTTAATTGCTAGATTTTACTGAGGGTTCCACATTTCAATGTACTTTTTTTTCTCATAAACCAACAATGTACTAATAACCATTAAAATTGACAGGCATACTTAGAATTTTAGTGTCGTCAAAGAGAACTTAATAAAAATATGTGGGCAGCATTCCAGTGAGAAAAAAAAAGTGTACGCAGGTGTTGTGACAGACAAGAAATTTAACCATATAAATTTTTGTGCCAATAAAAATAATTTTTGGTGTTTTAAGCACAGAATTCTGGGAAGAGAATGTACCTAAAGGTTTTATTATAATCAAGTTTAGTAAAAAATTAAATGCCAAAATGATATTAAGAGAAAAGAAAAAGTAAATTTTAACTTCTACTTTCCAAAGCACTGCCTCGTTAACCTGTTCCCTATTGGGCTGGGCAAGTTATGGTCAAAGTAAACTTTTTTATATCGTATTGATGCCAAACAAACACTTCTTGCATCATTTTTATCACTACCCACTGTTCGTTCATTCTTGAAATGTTATCGTTTAATAGCTTAGCAAGACTGGACAAATTTTATTGGGTCTAAGTTGTACAAACATAAAACGAAAATTCATGCTCATAGTATATACTATCATGGGCTGAAAAATTCTAGAAAGCAGGGTGTCACTGGAGCCAATGTTTTGAAAAGTAGTCTCGTATTCTTCAAGGCTGCAACTGAAGCCTTGAAAAATAAGTTGCAGCAACAACCTGTATTCAAGGATACAGTAGACTCTCAGTAAATGGAACCTGAAAGAACTGGGAAAATGTGTTCCATTTAACAGGAGTCCCGTTTACTGAGAGATGAATATCAGTGCAGAATACAAGCACGAAACCAAGCATCGCAAAGGGGATAGTTCCATTTGAGCAGTAGTTCTATTTAACAGATCCGTTCACTGAGAGTCTACTGTATTTTTAAATTCTTGAAGTTTCCATTTTCCCCCAGACTTCTGTGTATTGGCCATAGTTTTATGGTTGACACACTTCGTTCATTCTTGAAATGTTATCGTTTAATAGCTTAGCAAGACTGGACAAATTTTATTGGGTCTAAGTTGTACAAACATAAAATGAAAATTCATGCTCATAGTATATACTATCATGGGCTGAAAAATTCTAGAAAGCAGGGTGTCACTGGAGCCAATGTTTTGAAAAGTAGTCTCGTATTCTTCAAGGCTGCAACTGAAGCCTTGAAAAATAAGTTGCAGCAACAACCTGTATTCAAGGATACAGTAGACTCTCAGTAAATGGAACCTGAAAGAACTGGGAAAATGTGTTCCATTTAACAGGAGTCCCGTTTACTGAGAGATGAATATCAGTGCAGAATACAAGCACGAAACCAAGCATCGCAAAGGGGATAGTTCCATTTGAGCAGTAGTTCTATTTAACAGATCCGTTCACTGAGAGTCTACTGTATTTTTAAATTCTTGAAGTTTCCATCTTCCCCCAGACTTCTGTGTATTGGCCATAGTTTTATGGTTGACACACAGCATGAACCAGCTAGCCCAGCTGCAAGCAATTTTCACACTGAACTTCTGCCTTAGTATTGCACCCCGTTAAAAGAAAAATTTGTAGTGGCAAGTAATGAACACAGGATCAACTGGATAGTAGTACAATATTTTGGAAAACTGCTGATGTGGAAGCCTGCAAGGTATAGAAAGTTTCAGGGAAGGCAAAAATTAAAATTCACGTTTTTAGCAGAGCACTAAAAGGAAAACCATCTGAATTTATTTGCGACTTACTACTACAATAGAGCAGGTGTCATTTTTTTCCCATTTAGGCATAATGCCTTGCATAGAAAGTCACATCATTCATTTAATCAAAGAAATATATTTGCCAGTAATAAAAAATGCAAATACCAGAGGAAATGGCTTATGGTGTATTGTTTAAACAACATGGTGTGCTCACCAGTGGGCTAGCTCACATTTTGTGCTGCGTATAATTTTGCTGCTGACATCTGAAAAGTAATTAGTTTACTCAACCGTCTCAGGTAAGCAGCTTCTCTGTTCTTACCTTTATGTAGAACTGCAATATTACATGTTTTCTACTTACCAAGACTACCAATACTAAATCCTCCTTTTTTTTTCTAGCTAGTGTTCATCTTCTTGAACTCTGCCCTGCCTTTACTCGCCAGCTAGGTACAAAAGATTGTCACACTGCTGTGCACAACTCACACACAGAAGGTTGATATCAGCCATCAAACTAGGTTAAGTAGCTCTAATAATATAAAGATTTATGCATTTCTTGAGGTGAAACTTGGCAGAGATTATTAATATGCAAGCTGTGTTGATATTCAATGTAGCTGAAGTGAGCGACTTTAGTTTTTGTACTTAAGAATTTTTTTGCATCATTGGATAATTTAATTGTAAAAAAAAACAATATTTAAAAAGTTGGATTTTTTTTTCAGATAGAGCAGCTAGAAAGCAAAGTTCAGCAGGAGCTGGACAGCCTCAGAAACAAGACGAAACGAATGGAAGAAGAGATGATTGTGTTTGGTGACCTGGACAAACTGAGAAGCTCCTCAGAGCTAATGAAGCAGGAGCTGCTTGCAGAGAAGGAAGCTTTGCAGATAAAGAAGGGGCCAACTCGAAAGGTGAAAAACTGCTTTAACCCTTTTAATTACACTTTCATCCTATGAATCACCTGCCATTCACCGTAAGTGACCAAAGTGACTGTTCGTTGTCAATCTGATCAAACACTAAATACATTTATTTATTGTTTACTCTAGTTTGGTTAATATATAATTTTCAACTGTTATTTCACAGACTTTAGATGTACTATAATTTGACAGCCCATGCTTGCCTTCCAAAACCTGTCACAGACAATTGGGTACACTAGTTGCCGCTCATCTGCATAATTGGCTACGCTATCTGTACTTTTTTATTTATATCTCTTTTCTATCAAACACTGCATGTAGAAGACTATCGGTCATAACAAACACATGATTCTTTAATTTTCGTCAACAATCTCACTTGTAATGGACATTTTAACATTGAATGCATGGTTCTTGGCTGCTAATTTCATTGCATATAATTGTGGAAACTAAGGGAAACAACAGAGATGGTCATCTACTGTTTGCTACAACTTAAGCAAACATGGAGTGAGTCAGCCAGCTATAAATGGAAGAGAAGTCCCTCCGGTAAGAACGCAATGTAGAGAACCACTTCAAGATTGCCAAGGGTATGAGTGCGGTTGCACCTGTGAGTGTGTGTTGAGCCAAGAATATCAGGGACACGTGGTATGCTTTTCTGTTAGAGCAGCTACTAATGAAAAGCACTGCATATGTTGTGCCTCCAAGACTATACAGCCTGTGTGCACTGCAGACACTACCTCTTGTACTGTGTTCTGCTAACAACAAATATGCCTTGCAAATATGAGAAAAGTGATCAGCTGCACTTTGGCTGATCAAGCCACTGTGCCAGCTTTCAAGAAAGTGAGAGTAGCTACTATGTAGTGCAAAGAGGTTGTACTGGAGAAAACGTGGATTGTGTTTTCTATGGAGCACTCCACAAAGCAGATTGTGTAATATTACAACAAATGGTATAGTATATAACAAACATTTCATAAAGTACTGTAGTCATCCTTTACACTTATTTTAGTTGCAAAGCGCTTACATTAATATAAGAACTGATAAAAAAATGAAAACATGGTATCCCGCTTATAAAAAGGTGCTTGTATTAGGGAAACAAACTGCTCTTTGGTGTGTGTTGCACAGGCGGGGTCAACTCTATTAAGTACAATTTTTTAAACATTGTTCTTACTGTCCATACCTTTCGTGTTGAAAACATGCCATGGCAGTGCCATCGTTAACATCCAAAGCACTGCTTTCACACATGCATGCTTCAAAGGACTAAACATGCCCAATGAGTCAAAGATTGACTTTATGCTTTCCTGTATCTTAGAGGATGTGTTTCTGTCTCTCTGCTAAATGTGAGTCACTGATGAGTGTTAGATTCAGGCACTAATCAGTCAAGAATCAGCATAGATTTGATTGTGAGTGACATCTAGCAATTACAGATAAGCTTACAGATTACTTTGTTGCATGAAGCCAATCACTAAAACATATGCAGTGACAACACCTTGAAAACTGACAAGCAATAATAAATTGCTATATGTGCTGTAATGAATTCTTGTGAAATTATTATCAGCCTCTTAAGATTATCATGCTCAAGGACTAGAATTGTGCTATCTGCCATGGGCAAAATTTAATATTCTGTAATGTCTAAAACAAAACATTTATTGTTCCTTTTATTATTGCAAATTCCATTCAATGTAAAATACCTGTCAGGTCATTTATTGAGTGCAATGGAAAGTGCTTGTCTACGAATCAGCACTGTTAATGAATGGAAATGATGTGGCACATTAAGGTACGTGTGCAATACAAGAAAAATTTATTCAGCACATGTGCATTCATTTGTACACTACTCTTCTACTGATCTGTCATAGTGCGTAAAGGCTGCATAGAGGCATGTTTTGCTACATCTCTGAGTACAATCTTGCATGTCCACCCACTTTTCTGGTTCAGGCAGAGTTCATTCAGTATACAGTCAAAGGTACATCAAGTATACAGTCAAAGGTACATGTTTGGTGTGGCTCTAGCAACGTTACTGTATAATGTTAACTCACACTATGCCACTATGCTTTTGTTCCCATGAAAGGTGGTTGAAGAACTGCAAGCTCAGTATGACGAAGCAAGAGCCACGCTGAATGAAGAAGAAGGCTACACACGCTTAGTCAACCTGGAACGCCGCTGGCAGCACCATGAGCAGAATAACTTTGCTGCACAAGAGTACATTGAGGCGAAGCTGGCCGAATACAACTACTACCCCATCAGGCAGGATGTACAGGCGCTGCTGGAAGCCTATAATGCTGCCTTGCAGGAAAGCCTTGCAAAGGCATCCTATGGCTGAACTGCCCAGCCTATTATTAAAGTGGCCCTGCAACACTTTTTGAGCATGGTCAGAAAACGCTGCGGATCGGAAGTAGAGGCTCCCTACAACACGCGAGCCAAATATTATAGCACAGCACTCAGCCTTGAATTCACAATAAATTATCAAATTCAGCTAAAATTTGCTTTCTCTTCGCTCGAAAAATCAAGCAATATGTCCAAAAATCACACGTAGCAAGTTCATCTATTAGCCATTGGCTGATTTGAACATAGCGCGCTCCCTCGTTACAGAGATTTCTGCGAGGTCGCTACTTGTCCACGCGTGCGCGCGCAATACAACTGTAAAAGCCACGCATTCTAAGAAAAAAAAAATGTGTTCAAAGTCACGATCGAGGCGTGCGTGACGTTTTTATATGGCCCTGCCATCCCTCCCAGCTTAGCTTCCAGCGCTTTCGTTGGGACGAGAGAGAGAACGCAATGCAGCATGCGACAAACCTTTGTAACTCCACCCGCGCTGGATCGATTCTTAACATTTTTGCGGCATTGAACTTGTGAAAAAATAAGCTCTTCCAGTGAATTTATTCCATGGTTACTTGAAGAAGTGTTTCAGGGCCCTTTTAAGCTTGTGCTGCTGCAATATTTAAACAGAAACAATCTGTTAAATTGAGAGTAGTTGCAGAAGAAAAAGCTTAAGTGCTTAAACTAACACTGATGCAAAAGCACATCTTCACATCCTTTAATAATGGAGGTCTGTAGTTAGCATTACGAAACCTTTTAGGATGTGTGCCTAAATGAATAGAATTTCAGTTGTAAAAATAATAATTTATGAACAAGATGTTTTTTTATTGTCACAATTCATACTAACTGGCTTAAAAAAAAGTGGCCGAACAGACTGAAACTGATGTTTTAAAAGCACTACAGTTTGCTTCATGAAAGCTGTACATGTGCTCAGAATGGAGACAAAAGGAGTTAATATAGAGCAATTAAGTGAGTCCATAGATTAAATGCTCTTTTTTTTACCTTAACTTTATACCAACCAGTAATAAGTCAAAATTCCATACTCTGGCTCAATATCGGTGCACAGTGTGGCTTGCTAAGAAAACACTACAAGCTCCGTGTGCACAGCATAGTGTGCAATAGGATCTAGTTCAACTCTTCAGCATAAATCGTACTGTAGATACATAGGTTTAGTATTGTCATACACTGCATAATTGTTTGTTTAGTATGCAGCACCATACATAGCACCAACCTTTCTTGAGTGCCTTTACTCACATAAAAGTGACAGAAAAGTTGTGCCATCATAAAGAGGGTATCTTGTGAACTTTACTGCTTGTCAACTAAGTTTGTAATATCTGTGGTAAAAGGGAGGGTATAATTGATAATTATTTATAATCAGCTTAAGGGAGGAGTGAATTCACAAAATTCTTTGCCATGATGCAGAGTACTGAAGTGGTGTCATGCTGATGTAATCAGAAAGAATGCTCTTTAGAACTGGTTGTTTGAAAACTATAAAAAAAAACAGCGTCTCTTTGATCTCTCGTTATCTCTTACTGTTTACTTCCTCACTAGCTCCGTGCTTAAATGTACCAAAGCCTACAAGATTGAGCTCACATATCCTGTTGCTTTCTACACATTTGAAATCATAATGTCTCAAGTGAGCAGCAACCCAGCAGAAAATTCCACATTTTTCAAAAAAAACAAAACAAGTACCAGTCACTGAAATCACATGACAAAATGAAATTGTACAAAAGGCACAGCAGACAAGCTTATCTTTCATGCTGTGGACACACCGTGGTCTTGCTATTAATATGTTGCGAGCATGCTTTGAATGCACTGCGAGCTTCTGACCAGAATGTCATGATGCGTCCCTTTCAGATGAGTGGAGTCGGCACAGAAAAGTGGCATACAACAAATGTATTGAGTGTTTGTTAAAGTAAATATTTCCATTGTGGCATCCAACAAATTAAATGCTACATTGGTCACGGTGCACGATCGTTATTTGTGCAATGCACTTCGTTAAAAAAGCAACACAAGTTTTAGCGTGGTTCTATTGTGGGTGTAGATAATAAGTCATTGTTCACACAGATCCTCACAGGGCACAGAAGCTGCGCGATTTCTTCATGAGAACTTGCCTCTTCCAGCTGTGTCAGTGAACGACACTGTGTATTTATGCAGACACACCTGTCATAATAAGCGCTTCTCTAGGTATCGCACTGTCTGCTCCATTGTGTCAAAGGAAGCTTCACTGGCCTAGGATTAACAGGCTAAGAACTGATACAATATGCAAATTGGCTCCTACAATTGGCTCATAGCCCCACAAAAGTTATCACAGGGCTCACTGTGAGTTGATTTCAAATATGTATGAACCTTAAATCTGAAGGCTGATATTTTTTTGAATAAAGTATTTAAAATTTGAAACAAATTGCTACATGGAATACTGGTTTCCTCCCTGCGATCAAGATTTACAAAAGCAGATGTTATGAAACCATAGCTTGAGTAAAGTATCTATCATTGCCCTGGACATATAAGCAACGTTGCTTCAAAAAATAATGCAAGAAGACTAGCTTACCAATCTGTACAAGTGACCAGATACTGGGTCACTGTCATCATCAGCCTGACTACGCCCACTACAGGGCGAAGGCTTCTCCCATGATCCACCACTTAATCTGGTCTTGTGCTCTCCGTTGCCGCGTTATACCCACAAAATTTTTAATCTCACCGGCTCACCTAACTTTCTGTCTACCCTTCGTGCATTTGCCTTCTCTGGGTGTCCAGTCAGTTACTCCAAATGACCAGCAGTTATCCTGCCTCCATGCTACGTGTCTAAACCATGTCCATTTTTTTTTCTTGATTTCAACTATGATATCCTCTACCCCGGTTTGTTCGCTGACGCACTCTGCTCTCTTCTTGTCTCCCGAGGTTACACTTATAATTTTCCTTTCCATCGCTCGCTGTGTCGTCCTCAATTTAAGCTGAACCCTCTTTGTAAGCCTCCAGGTTTCTGCTCCGTAGGCAAGTACTGGCAGGATGCAGCTGTTATATACCTTCCTCTTGAGGGTTTGTGGCAGATTACCATTCATGATTTGAGAATGCTTACTGAATGTGATCCACCCCATCCTTATTCTTCCAGTACATAAAATAAGTGCATTATTTTCATAGCAAGTTACACTTACTAGGTGATTACCGCAGCAAGACGCACTAAAGCAGCAAGAACATGTTATAGAAAAAATGAAGGTAACTTTAACTTATGAAAAGAAATAGCTACCTTATTTACACGATTGTAGGTCAATTAGTTTTCTCTTAGTATTGAAATTGGAAGTTAGGGGGTCGACCTAGAATCAAAAACTGTTTCGGTAGTCAAGTCTTTCTGAAAATAATGGCCGCATATTTTCGTGAAGCTAGCCTTTCTGTACAGCTTTCAAGCAATGCCGTGAAGCCACCTTTCCACTGTAGAATTCAATTTTGTTTTTTTGGAAGAACTTGTAAACAATTTTTTTAATAAAATGTACTCATGCTCTTTATTTTGTCATGCGATTTTAGGGGTGTCAACCTGAATTTGAGTCGATTTACAATCGTGTAAATACGGTATAATAAAACACATACATTTGCACTTTTCCGCCGGGTCAAAAACAGAAATTTGATTCAAGCAATACATAGTCCTTCATTCACTGCATGTAGCAACTATACTTGAATAAAAAAATTGTCTAAAAAATTTTACCATTTTGTAACACAAGTAAGATGCTCACAGAAAGTAACTTGTTCTAGTGCAGCAATTGGCATAGTTCTAAACCATGCACTACGTGCAGCTTCATTACTGTAAAACATGAGGAAGTCTGTAGCACGGACATGCAGCGATTCCTGTTCAGAGTTTCACGCTGCTCCATTTACCATACCGTTGACAACGTCAATGTTTGAGGCACTCACGTAAGGTTTCTCCGACACATGTAGAATCTTGTTAGATAGATTCGCAAACTCGGTGTGCGATATGCGCATTATTTTTTGCTGAGTTTTATGGATGCTGTGTATGCAGTTGTGAGGTGCTTGGGTAGATAGTACTGCCGCCTTGGGAGAATGTTGTGCGCATTCCAGCTGATGGGGGAGGACTGTCGTGTCTTGAACACTCGGAGCTGGAGGCGAAGCTATGCATGGTCTCTCCCGTCACTTCTCACGATGTAACTGAGCAGTAATAAAAGAAATCAAGGTTCAAGAAAGGAGACAAGGTCGAAATTTCGGCGGAGGTCCCAAGTGGTGGTTGGGCAAGTTGAAGAAACAAATGGATCTTTTATGGTAATTGTTTCAACTCCTCAAGGGAAGGTTCATCACCGCAACAACCAAGTGAAAATGCACTTGGACCCTCCAGCACCAAGTTCTGCAGATACAACACCCACCGAGAAAAATTGTGTAGCCAGCACGTCGGGCAACGTAGAGGCTGCAACAGTGCCATCAGCAAAGACATTCAACCCGAACTATCCGCAAGCCCCTATGATACCAATAAACTTTAGGGAGGAGGAGTGCTGTGTATGCAGTTGTGAGGTGCTCGGGTAGATGGCACTGCCACTTTGGGAGAATGTTGTGCGTGTTCCGGCAGATGGGGGGACTGTCCGTGTCTCGAACACACTGAGCCGGAGATGAAGCTACGCACGGTTTCTCCGTCACTTCTCACAATGTAACTAAGCAGTAATAAGCCTTGTTGATATGCAACAATTGGCTTCCTGCTTGTTACAGCAGTAGAGATACATGTTTTCTGCGGAGAGTTTCATCTAGTTGTTTTCCCATCAGATGTAGTAATGAAATGCTAGAGTAGCACTGGTGGTAGAGTGCCTTGATATGTTAGCCAGCTGAGGCAAACGAGCACATCGAGGTGCCTCAGCTAGGGGAAGAAGCAATTATGTGCTCGATGAGGTTGAGATGCCCTCTCTTGTGCAGTGCAGGTGTCCACTGCATGTTTCCAAAGAGCTTTAGCGATTTTAAGTCAGATATTTTTTTATTACTTCTTGCTTGCTTCTGCTAGTTATATTATTTTAACCTTGTTAATTTGCTTTAACCTGGTGTTGAGCACTGCTAGCCTTGTTTTAGGCCTGTACTGAGCATTTAATTGTGAGTACGATCATGAAACTTCTGGATGCCAACAGGTTATACTCTGGTAGCATTGCCCACATTCACAGCTATGATAAATTAAGCAATTGGAAGAACAGATACTGTGATTTTAGTATAATGGTTGGTCATATATTGCATTTTTTAGATCTAGCTTTATCTTCAGGCTTGTTTTATGTGAGCTAATTCAGTTCATGTAAATTATATAGATTCTCTCATCACAAGAGTTTATTATTCATCACAGTTAATTTTTCTTCATCTCTAAATTTCATTGCTTCGATTTCAGCTCAATTACTGTGAATGTTATGAACACTAATTTTCGACAAGTTTTGACTTCCTCCAAAGAACCTTGACCATTACATATAAATATTGAGAGACCATAGCGTCACTGGATGAAATCTTAAAAACTGCTGAATATGCAGTGAGGTTCCCTTACAGCCCTAAGATGCATATATTTCGTTCGCATACAGCAGGAACACTATCAATTATCAAGCAGGCCATGCAAGGTGCATCTAACCAGCATGTCTTCGGCGAGCAGTATTTACAGCACCCACCTTTATTCATGGCACATTTTTTATGTCTCAATTTCTTTTCTTTGTTTCAAAAACATTTTTATCACAAACAAAAAAATCTTGCAGGCAATGCATTCAGTGCAATGTGAACATTGACCTTAGGCAGCGATCACCATATCCTCCAACTTGACGTAGCGCACACTCGTCGCCAGACCAAGACAGGAATAACATGCTTAACGGCATGGAATTTCTACAGGGATGACCTCGCTGTTGAAACCACTCTAACTGACATTGAAGAGTGGTTAAAGAATGTTCTAGATACATCCGAACGACGCACTAAAAACATACAGCTCAACAGCGATATGCCCGCAGTCGACGCCCATCTTCTCCACCTCTGGGAGGCTAGGAGAGTACTTCTCAAGGAGGTGGAAGCGGCAAAAGCTTAACAGGAAGCTTCAGCAACGCATCGCTCTGCTCACCAAGCAAAGTCAAGATTATGCCAACCAACTGGCCAGGCAGAACTGGCACGCTTTTGGCAACAAGCTACAGGGAACTCTCAGCACCAAAAAAACCTGGCACCTGCTATGCTCTCTTATGGGCACGCAACCCTCCAAAACGGCACAGAAGCAGCATCTTCACAAGCTTATTCACAACTACGCTGGATCGGAAGAACATCTCCTTCAAGAATTGGTGAAATGGCTTACGTTGTCATTTAACACCAAGGAATATGCGGGAACACCAAACCCTGACGTCGACCGGCCCTTCACGCAAGCGGAACGTTACGCTGCCCTATCGAAGTTGACAAGAAATACCAGCCCTGGAAAAAACCAAATCGTCAACAAACACTTGCGCAACTTACCGCACCAGGCCACCACAGCTTTTCTCCAATATTACAACGGTTGCAGGGAGAAAGGAGAGCTGCCTGCGGTTTGGAAACACTCGGAGATCACCATGATTCCCAAGCCTAACAAACCTATCAGCATTAAGAACTTGCGCCCGATTTCCCTCACCTCGTGTGTGGGAAAGCTATTTGAGCATATGGTACATGACCGCTTGACCCTATACCTAGAAAATAATGGGCACCTACCAGATATGATGTTCGGCTTCAGACAGCCCCTCTCGACGCAGGACGTGCTTCTACTACTTGAAGAAGACCTTCTTGATCACCTCAGTCACCGAACCAAGTACTCAATACTTGGAGTCAATGTCAAGGGGGCCTTTGACAACGTAAGCCATGACGCGATCCTCACGAACCTTGAAAGAACCGGCTGCGGCGTTAGGACCTACACGTATGTCCGAAACTTTCTGAAGGACCGTACAGCAACTGTGGACATCTTGAACATCCGCAGCGAAAGCTTCCAACTACCTAAAAGAGGTACGCCACAGGGTTCGGTCATGTCACCGCTACTGTTCAACGTGGCCTTGATCAATCTGCCTAAGGTTCTCGATAAAATACCAGATGTACGGCACGCGATCTATGCTGACGGCATCACGCTCTGGACCAAAATTTCGAGCATCGGGAGACAAGGGAGCTGCTTACGAGATGCCGTAAACACCATCGAAAGGTATCTCCGACACTGCGGCCTCAACTGTGCCCCCGAAAAGTCTGAGCACCTTGTACTCAATGCAAGAACGAGAGGCAGGCCTCCCATATACGAAGAGCCCGACCCTTGCGTCACCCTCAATGGGACAATTATTCCGAAAGTTGATATGCTACGGGTGCTTGGACTTCACATACACAAAGATGGATTGGGAGCTTCCACCATACCGAGACTCCAGAGAACCCTCTCGCAGCTCACGCACCTCGTCAAGAGGATCGCAAACCAACGCAATGGGCTTAAAGAACACGACACCCTACGAATAATGCAAGCACTGCTCACCAGCCACATCACGTACGGCACGCCATATCTCTGTTTAAGAACTGCGGAAATAGAAAAACTTAATATTATGATAAGAAAAGCAACCACAGTCGCCATGGGACTAACACCCATGGCTTCTACTTCACAACTTCTTGTGTCCACAACACGTGGCAAGAGCTCGCGGAGGCTCACAAGAACAGCCAGCTGGAACGACTCAAGCTCAGGCCCACTGGGAGGTCGGTACTCCGGTATCTCAACTACAGCGAATCATACATTGCGGATGCAGACTGGAAAATGCGCATCCTGTTGGACGTTCAAGAGTCCCTGTCCATTGCATCTATCCCACGCAACATGCACGCCACATTCCACAAAGGTAGACGAAAGGCTAGAGCAGAAGCTTTTCGACGAAAGTTCAGGCAAGACCCAAATGCCCGCTATACCGACGTAGCCAAGTACCCCCGTAGAAACGCGTATGCTATCAGCGTCGTCGACTCTCAAGGCCGAGAGTCAAGGCATGCAACTCAGACGCAGCGGAAGAAGTGGCAATCGCTCTTGCCACTACCACATGTAAAGACGCCGCGGTGATTTTCACTGACTCGCAAGCCGCTTGCCGGAATTATGTGAAGGGCCACGTCTCAGCCGGCACAATTAACATCCTGCAGCAGCGAAGCTCTCCACTTCCATATGCCTGCGTAATCTGGGTTCCTGGACACGAGGGTTTACAGGGAGATGAAGCGGCTCACACCGCTGACCGCGAGCACGTCAGCCAGGCTGCTTTGAGACCAAAGGATATTCGATCTGTGGCTGCAGAGATGGAGGTGGTAGAAAACACCTAGTACTCGTCGCTACTTCAACACTACAAACTGGAGAGACGGGTGTACCCTCCACTCCATCCAAGACTAACCAAAAAATAGAGCGTGATTTTCAGACGCCTACAAAGCAATACTTACATACATGGCATATTAATGCACTGCCTCTACCCAACGACACATGGCTACATGTGCCCGCTCTGCAGCGTACCAGACACCCTGGCACACTTGCTTCTGGAATGCCAGTGCCATGTTAACCACGACGTGCAACTGGAACGGGACCAAGCCCCAAGAATAAACGACGACCACCTAATGGAAACGTGGGAGGCCAAGCTCGTCTTTGAGGACCTGGAAGACCAGCAACAACTCGTCGCCAGGGCCAAGAGGGCCGTCAAAGCCACAGGGTTCCTGGACTAGGGAACCCTCCCACCTTAGGGTGACACCGGGCCTCGCTCGGAACACTATTTTTTAAATAAACGCTTATTTCTCTCTCTTCATTTTCCAGCTGTAAACAGCAACCTTTCGTTGATTATGCAGTTCAATTATCTAATATACAACTTTAATGCATAATTCTCTGTATGTCGCAAATTTTCCATATGTCACAGAAGTGAGGACCTTGCAATAAAAAACATGCTTCAAAACTACGTAACATGTCGTGTGGCACATCTTGGGTGTGTACACACAATGTAAACAAAATTATCGAAGATAGAACTTGTGTTACTCAAGTGAGAAAAAACGATAAAGTGAGAGTTGTTGGACATGCTTCACGCTCTCCGCCATCAGCTACAAAACAACTGGTTCTAGCATAGAATATGTTACAGGAAACGGTGCTAAATTTTTCATAATGAAAGCTATGTTCCCCGTGAGTACCTGACAGCCAGCATCAAAGGCAGCACGCATTTTGTGACTTGCTTGCTTGAAGTTTTTCAGTATCGGCACATTCGACACTCGGCAGTAAAGGGTTAAAAAGACGGAAGAACTTGCCACATTATGTATGCCCTAACATTGTAGCATAACACACTGCAAGTATGTTCACAAGATGAGCCCCATGAGGAATTATTTACATGCTTTGGCTTATTAAGAAAGCATTATTTACTATGTGCTTTAGCAAAGCAACCATGATGTCACAGTGGAAACCATTGGGACAATTATAATGAAACATTCAGAGCAAGTGAATGCTTACTCAAATGCTGCATTACTTCTGGTCTATGCCAGGCATACCTGCTATGATAATTTTTAGTTATGACCAAGCTGTAACTGAACTGAAGCATGATAAATCACAAATAGGGCTGGTTCATGACTTAGTTAATGATTACTGTATGCAGTTCCTTTTCAAGCTCAAAATGTTGAATATATGGTCATTCACAATAAAGCGATTCACTGGTAAACTTGTAGTATTGCCAATCTCGCCAAAAGCAGCAACTGTAAACGAGTAAACGAGCAGAAAAGTGGTGTCAGGCTCACAAAATATTTCAAAAAAAAAAACTGTTCCACATTGCTGTATGAGAATGTTACCATGGAAAACTCTGTTCTTGCATGCAGAAATAAAGCTAGTTGTAGCCTTGTAGGCAATGTCATAAGAGAACATGCAAGCGCTAATGCAGACATGTATGTGTGAGCCGCTCAGCAATCATCATTGTGAACTTTGTTCTTCAAAGAATAAGGGTTACTCATCATGGCAGCTATGTAAAGGTAACTTGAGGATGCTGTCTATTTTTTTTTTTTTTTTGCACATGCAGACATTAATTCCTATTTGCAGTCCTTTTTGTTTCAGCACAATTAATTCTTCAAAGCCTCTTTGCAAGAAGCTTGGGAAATCATAATAAAAGATTCAGAGCAAGTAAATGCTTGCTCAAATGCAAAGTGAGAATGTGTCCTGTGATTTGATTTAATTTGAACTAATTTGAAATGTCTTGCTGAGGTGAAATTAGATGAGATTACCTGTAACAGTACAATTTTACCAACAATTGCAATAGCCTATCACTTAAAGGAAACCAAGCTTTTCCTCCAATTGGGAAGTGAAGGTTTTATTCAGAAATGAATTGCAGCGAAATACCACGTCTCTGAGCACATATGATACCATACACTATATTTGCACAACAGTCAAAACAAATACATTTTATATAGCAGTAAGGTATGCACATATTAGTGTTGGCTATACAGTAGGCATGTGTTCTAGAGGTACAAGAAAAACATGAGCAGTATTCTTTGCAAAAAAATATTCATTTTCATTCTGTGCATAAGATCATACAATAGAGTCACTCTGGTGGGTGTATAATATCTACAGGGCCACAATTTATGATTACAAGCCCAAAACTAAACAATCCAGAAGTCACTTTGGATCAACAACATTCAAAGAAGTAATGGTAGTCCTAGTATATTCACTAAGATGCTACTTGTCTTTGAGAAAGCATCTGTATAGCTTTTCATCCTCAGGCGTACTGAACTTGGGAACAAAGTTGATTTTCAAGATGGCTGAGAATCCTTCAGATAGGCTTGGCTCCTTAAACTTGGACCTGAAAAATGATTTAACGAAGCACCGATTATATTTCACTTAAGGGTGATATTAATTGAAGGAACAAGCATGTATGGAGATGTTATAGCAAATAAGATCTTTTATAAAAACATTTTGTGTGCAAAAACAACTGGGACACTGGTTGTTCTAGATTACACAAAGAAAGTTAAAAGAATGAGAAAACCAAGCTCCTCTAGACATGAAACCAGCTGTACACTGTTATTTATTTATTTATTCAGAAATACCCTGCTTTGCCCAAAGGCATGTAAGCGTGGGGGGGGGGTTACAGCTTTCAAAAAAACAAGTCTTCATTATGACAGCACACTTGGTCACAAGACAATTGATTCCACTCTTGTACAGTATGAACAAAAAAAGAATTAGCATAAAGGTTCGTTCCAGTCCAGTATTCTTGAATCTTAAGGTCATGATCAGACCTTCTAGACAGATAATGCGGTGGTTTAAGGTAAGTGTCTTTATTGATGCCAGTCTTCTTGTGGTATATCTGAAATAACAATTTCAAACACAATTTTCTTTTGCGAGAGGAGAGCGCTTCCCATCCCAGCTCGTTTTTCATTTCAGTACAGCTGTCACCTCGCTTATACCGACTGAGAACGAACCTTGCCGCTCTGTTCTGTATTTTCTCGATCAGATCAATCAAGGACTTTTGGCGCGGATCCCACACACAACATGCATATTCTAAAATTGGGCGGACAAATGAAATTTACGCAGTACTATTTAGGACAGCAGGGGAGGATCTCAGATTTCGTTGAATGAAATTTAGGGCTCTGGCAGCTTTTTCAACTACAGCATGCACATGCGCATTCCATGAACAGTCGCTCGTAAGTGTTACACCCAAGTATTTATACATTGATTGATGATCAATGACGTCACCGTTCAAAAAGTAACGCGCTTCATCCTTTTTCTTTTTTTTAGTAAAAGACACGTGCACACATTTTTTCACATTAAGTTGCATTTTCCACTTGTCACACCATTGCACAATTCGGGTAAGGTCAGCCTGCAATTCAATGCTATCCTGTTCATTTTTTATTTTTCTGTACACAACTGAGTCGTCAGCGAATAAACGTATTCGAGAAGTAATGCCATCAGGAATATCATTAATGTAAACTAAAAACAGTAGTGGCCCTAAAACGGATCCTTGAGGGACACCCGATGTTACTTCCACCGTAGAAGTAGTAGTACCATTGAGAATGACACATTGTCGACGCTGTGATAGATAACAGGCTATCCAATTCAGTATTTTCTTATCAATATTTGCCCTTTCGAGTTTGCGAAGAAGCAAGGGATGGCACACGGTGTCAAACGCCTTTCTGAAATCTAAGAAAACACAGTCTGTTTGAACGTTGTCATCAACCTCGGACACTAAATCATGGTAGAACTCGATCAGCTGTGTTGTGCAAGACAGGTACCTGCGGAAACCATGTTGATCATCAACTAATAATTTATGTTGAACTAAGTGTTTCATTATGTCTACAGAAAATGTGCTCTAGTATTTTGCAGGGAATAGATGTTAATGAAATAGGTCTATAATTGTTGGCCTCTTTTTTAGAACCACCCTTGTGAATGGGAACCACGAAAGCCATTTTCCAGTCCTTAGGCAGAACCCCAGTAGAGAGAGATTTTTTGTATATTAGGTAAAGATAAGATGCTATTGGCCAGGCACAACGCTTCAACACGCGTGGGGAAATACCATCTGGACCAGGGGCCTTGGTTTATATTTTTTAAAAAGGATTTGATACCACTCACACAGAGTTCAACCGGTGGCATTAATGGCCGAGTTCCCAGAGGTGGCTCTGCCAGCGTAGATAATTTCGCAAAATCCATTTGAGGTAAAAATATGGAGTGAAACAAATCATTAACACACGACGCTTTATCAATGTCGCTGTACAAGATTTGACCATCATGGAAAATTTCGTTTACTACGGTTGAATCAGCTCCACAGTTTCTTACGTATCTCCAAAAATTCTTTGGGTTCGTTTTTATACTTTCGTTTAGTCGATTGAAGTATTTATCCTTTGCGCTACGAACTTCAGATTTATATTCATTAGTTATCTTGACCAACTTGGTGTACTGATAACTACTATGCGTTCTTTTAAATGCCTTGTATACTCGTCGTCTTTTCCTTAATAATCTAAATATCGCTGGCGTCACCCATACCTTCTTGCACTTTTTGAGTTTAACCACGTTTGTACTTGGCACATACTTTTCCGTTAGCTCTATGACTTTTGCTTTAAATAGAGACCACAGTTGTAAAACATCGGCGCTCTCGCAATGACAATCAAAAACAGGCAAATGAGCAAATAATTCCTGAGAAATAGCAGAGTAATCACCCTTATCATAAAAATATACCTTCCTCGATTGGCGGGGCTTGGGTCTCTTGATCTTATGTTTAATAGTTACTACAACCGCGAGATGGTCACTGATACCGGGTATACACATCACAGAGTCGACAATATTTGGCGAATTACAAAAAAGCAAATCTAAAATGTTATTATTCCTTGTGGCCACAGTAACGTATTGAGTAAGACCGAACGTATCAATGATGTTTTTCATGCTGATGTTTTCGCAACAACCAGTCAAGGCGATACATGTTTCATTATACCACGTCAAATCCGGTAGACTGAAATCACCGGCAAGTATAAACTGATCTTGGAACTTTCTAAAGAACAACTCCAGTATGTTGGCCACAACCATAAGAAATGCTCTATAGTACTCGACGATATCTTGAGCGCCAACAGACAGGAATGTGAGAGAGACAATACAATGCGCTAACTTCAACAGTTTTTATTTCCAGGAAACGCCAAGCTATATATCCATGCAGTGGCGCCACCAGTCTATCCAACAGCCAAGGAGAAAAGCCCTTTCCTGATCTAAAAAGTCAACTGATGGTGCACTCACACACATGTCACTATTCCGAGAGATAGCTTGGGTTTCAATTATCTCTTAGACGTATTGTCTTTGTTTGGCCAGTACAATGCAAGACTCATACAAAGGTGCCCAACTGCACTGCAAGCAATGTACAGACAAATGGCCGTAATTATTCTTGTTTTTAACATTTAACTTGTGTTAGCAAAGACAATCCTTTAGGCATCTACCTGTTTGACCTATGTATTTATTGCCACAGGTCAGCGGAAGCTCATTATTCACCCCTTGTACACAATCCACAAAAGGGTCCCAATGGTTCTTAGAGCACCCGACAGCTGGCCTGTACTGTGGGTCCTTCAAGCGACTTGACCTGTCAAGATTTTGCGGTGCTGAGAACACTACTTTAATGTTCACTCGACTAGCTACTTTCTTCAGATTATGAGCTGTTTTGTGCAGATAAGGCACTACTGCCACTCTGCTCCTACTTTCCGTCTGTTGGATGGCCGCTTCCCGAATGCTGCTTTCCGAACGGCACCTTTTAAGCAGACTCTCGACAACCGACACCTATGCAAACTCTGGGAAACCTGCTGTGGATAACCTTTTGGACTGATTCATAAGACTTTTATAGATTTTATGGAGGTAGGACTTTTGTAATGCATTTCCAAAACACAAATTGGCAATGCTTCTTTTAAGGAGAAATCTGAGTCGAAAAACAACTTCTTTCCCCCAATATTACAAATTTTTCATTTCTATTTGCTTTGACAAGTATAGTTTCTCTACTTTCACGGCAAAAAAATAAAAAACGGAGAATTGCAGTAAAACTTGAAGTAGGTTAAAATTGTATATAAAGAGCACACAGTGACGACTAAAAACTAAAAGAAGTTCATTGACTGGAGTCCCCAGGAAATTGTCATCATGCTGTTTGCCTTTGCGTTACGTATAGCTACATGCTTAAAATGACAATGATTTCCAAGCTCTCATAATGGAAGAAATTATTGGCATAGATGAGCTTTCATTTATAACTTATACATTTAAAATGTGCTTTTCTCAAAATCCTTTTTTGGGCAACTTCTTAAGAGTAGACATTATGTTCTTGGTATTTCTGATAACCTGATCAGGATGAAATATTGCCCACATATTCCTTAACATGTGAGGGGTGCATGTATATCCTTTAAAACTTGACATTTCCTGTATAATTATTGCGAACTTAAAGTGAACAATTAGTATGAACTGAGGATTTTGAGCATTCTCATATTAAAATTTTTCTTCTTTTTTGAAAAGCTAGTCAACAGGCTCTGTATTTTTTTTGCACCCCCCAGAGAAGCTCAGCGATTCGTAGAGTAGAACGAGGCTTCCGAATAGATCTTCCGAATAGAAAGAACGAGGCTTCCGAATTAGACCTTCAGAATACTACAGCGCTGTGCGCGGCGCAGAGCCTATCTTTTGAAAAACAATTACCGCGCTTCTTTCCTGCATCTGACTAACGCTCATTTCACACGAAGTGACGTAAAGTTTCCAATCGGCGACTTGATATAGCACGTAGCTCATCGATTCGTCTAAAGAAGTCACGACAATGGGCAATGCTTTCTCCTCCCTGTGAGGGATAAGGGTGGCGAGGCCATGCGAAAATTTGAAAGCAGCTGAAATCGATGTTCTAACCCTAGTAATTTTGTTATTATAGCATGTATTTGCAAACTTTTTGTGGCAGCATGTTCACAAAGTAAAAGTACACATATTCCTTTTTATAAAAATTCTTCGACCTTAGGGTTCTTTAATTGCCCTTCAAAATGTCTTATACACACTTTCTTGGTAGTTATTTGCATTGTATCGTTACTATAGAGTAATATAAGCCATAAATGGCTGAGAACCATAAATTATTAGTGGCATAAAAGTTTGTCCAAAACCAACTATATGTTACACATTGTCATGGCATAAAACTAAAACTGTGCGACTAGCTATAAAACTAATTAGATATTTTAAATCAGTAAAAAGCCTTATAGAACAAACATTTCAATGCCCTAGACTGCAACTAGCTTCGAGTGAGCAGATTGATATGGCAACAATGTCTTATTAGCTCTGGGTCTATATTCCCAACACGTGTGCTGTTCCATGAATTCAAGTTCAATGCCTAAAAACCACAGCACGTTGTCAGACTGCTCTTTCACTGTTATAATGAGTGGGCTAAAGCAAGCAGAAAAAACAATTTTGAGTTGATCTACTGATACATGTGCTTCTCGCTTGAACAGGACAAAGTAATCGTCCATGTATCTTACAACTTCAGCCACCCTGTTCTCCATTCCATTCCATTTTCAATTCTATTTACCCGAAAGGCCCAAAGGCATTCCGTAGGGGGGGGGGGGGAGGCAAGATAGGTTTTTACAGAACATTTCACATAAAAACAAGACAAATAGCAGTGTTCAATCAGTAGTGCATGTAGACATGCACGTGCAGTTGGTCAAAAATATGCAAGAGAACAAAAAATACGAAAAAAAATGAACTGCTAAACAACATACCTACAATTTATTCATAAATACGCAAAAAATCAATAAAAGAAAAAAAATACAAAGAGCACTTGCGGGAGAAAGATCATACACAATTTACATACAAATGTGGACAAGGCAGGCAGAAAGTAGAAGTATTTACAAAAAAGCAATACAGTGATTTGGACATATATGCATTAATACGTTAGATGATTTCTGTTATGGACTGGAATACCCTTTAACGAAGTTAATATGTCTCAGAATTTGTAAGAGTGTGGTTGATCTTCTCAATGAATTGTGTGTGGCACTAAGAACTGTTTAAGAAGCATTTGTGAATATTTGTCAGCTTTTATTTCTTCAGCAATAGATCTCGGAAATTGGTTCCACTCCTGGATAGCCAAATGAAGATAGGAAAAACGAAGTAGATCAGTACGGGTGAATGGTTGACGAATTTTAAAGGACATGTGCCAGATTTATGTTACGGTGGGCCAGAAAAATGTCACTTAGTTTTCCCTTGTTGTGCACTGTCAGTGCATGTTAACTCTTTTGTTACCATGCCTATTCAAATCGGCAATCCAAAGCGTCGATCACTGGTGAACACTTTGGATTGGCGATTTTGGCATGTTAAGTTTATTTGTCGTGCTTGGAGCACTTTCTAGTAGTTAGTTCAGCCACTCAACTTTCAGAATCGATTTGAATTTGCTCGTTTTGACAACATGGTAATTTTTTACAGACCTTTGCATGAACTAATGTGCGTGTATTAGAATAATGCACTAGGCTGGATAACTTGACAAAAGTGCGTGCCCCTCCTGATTATGCTACAGTAACATTGAGGTTCTGTAATGAAAAGAATCTTTGCAAGTAAAATATCGAATTACAGTGTCAGCTTTGCAATTTCACAGTGTTGAGCAGTAGTAATTGCCAGAAATTTATACCAGCTGTTAAATAGAGAGCTACTGCTAGGAAATAGGGAGTGAAGATGAGCTTAGAGTTTGAGGACGACAGCACATCAGCTTCAAGTTTTATGGCGATTATGTTTTGCATGAGACATCCGCCATCGCTCATGCATTTGTTTTGTTTACGTTCTCAAGTTGTCTTCTCGGCCCCAAGTGCCTACCTGTTGGCCTTTGTGCACAATCTTACAACTATTCTGCTTACATACGAGGACCACACTTCGCTAGGGAGCGGTGTTCTGGCACCAGCTGCAGAGCTTCTCCTAACGACAAGAAGGCTACTGGAGCACACCTTGGCCCTGACTAGGGAGCAATGCGAAATGTTTTAGAACTGCACGCGATGTCTATCGGCCTGTTTACAACAATAACGACATCCTAGCACTTCAATCTGATCTAAACCCCGGAAAAACTGATGCTCAAACTGGCTTATGTCCCTAGACGTCAATAAAACATCTCTCCTCTCTTTCTACCACAGGAAAGACTATCACGCGATATCTATCAACCAATTCACAACAATAACGACATCCTAGCGCTTCAATCTGACCTAAACCACGTAAATAACTGGTGCTCAAACTGGCTTATGTCCGAAAAACGTCAATAAAACATCTCTCTTTTCACCCCAGGAAATACTATCATGCACTTCAATACCTTTTTTGTAACTCCCCTGTTCAATCTGTTGGTTCCTATACATACTTCGGCATTGAACTCACCGCTGATCTCTCTTGGATGCTCCACGTCACCAATATAACTAACAAAGCTAATTGTGCACTTGGCTACCTAGGCCGGAAGTTACACCTAGCCCCATCTTCCGTAAAACTATTAGCATATGACACTCTACTGCGACCAAAGTTAGATTACGCATGAGCCATATGGGATCCCCGTCAATGTATCCTCAATAAAAAACTCTAATCTTTTCAGAATCGAGCGACCAGATTTATCCTTTCCAATTACTCATACAACAGCAGCATTACAGAGCTAAAATCTCGTATTAACCTTCTCAATCTTGCTGTTCGTCATAAAATCACCCGCCTTTGTCTTTTTCATAAATTCTATCATGCTACCCCTCTTACACCTGTGATCATTCGAGCTCATCGCCGTTATAGCAGACTCAACCACATCAAAGCCATTCACCCGCCTCATGCTCGGACCGTAGCTCACTCATTGTCTTTTTTCGTGCTGATGCCCAAAGACTGGAACATTCTCCCTGCCGATACCATGCACCACCCCAGCTCGGTACTTTTCAACGAAGTTATCAAACATTTGTTAATTTTTTTTGACCACCCCTCATGTAAAACCCCTAAACTGGGGCCTTTGAGGCAAGAGAAATAAAAATAAATAAAAATATACTTCGATGCATATATAAGAACGCAAACCTATGTTGAGTGAGCTCGCTCACGGAAAGAACTTGGAGGCTTTTATTGCAAAAAAAAAAAAAAACAAACCAAAAATTCACTGATAAAAGTGTTCGAGTTCACTTATGTCTCAAGAAAAAAAATCCAGGCGATGCTTCACTGCATGGCACGAGCAGCGAAACAGCACTTCGGTTCTGATTTTCTTTGTCTAATTGAATAAAAAAATATTGTACTATATTTATTATTTTTAATATTGTTCCTGGGTCACTTATCTTCAAAATGTATATTCTGAATTTCCTTTGTTTTGAATATTTTTGTATATATAATGTTTTTATTGCACTGTTCACCAGCTGGTAACCAAAAATAACACACTTTTGCACATTTTTATTCACTATAAAACATATCTCTTGCTCTACAACATATATTTTTTGGAAACAGCATTTTATTGTGCAAAATTTGGTATGCTGCAATGCATGCTGGAGTACTTTTCTATCTTGCAAAAACTATCTTCCCGAGACCTATGAAAAATAACCATTTTCATGCGGTAACGAGAGTTAAAGAATACCAGACGGTCAAAGTTTCTGGAGCCTTCTACTAAGGCATGCTTTATAATCATGTTGTGGGTTTGGCACGTAAAAACACACACAATGAGATGTCAACAACGAAGAGAAAAACCGAAATAATTGTGCTATCAAAATTTCGTATTGACACTGGAGCCATAAATTCAACCAAAAAAGGTTTTTATGATCAAACTTGATAAAGCAAATGATTGCATAAAAGATTAGCAATAATTATTCAACAACTGTTGGGGTTTAATACTTAAATAACTTATCTTTACCAGTAAAAAAATCCCATAGGTTTTGGAAGGCACTGCCAAGATCTATAAAGTCATGGTGAGTTGGTGTGGAATGGGATTGTAAGGCACATGCTCCACACTGGTCCTGAGGCAATGGCCCTGCCAAGCATGCAAGGTTCCGATGATGGGAAGATGTGCAAGTTGTGTTTGCTTCAAGTTGGGGCCGAGCCCAATTTGGCTGTGTCTGCTCACCTGGCTGTGGGTTCTTGCATTGCTGGCATATCTGAAGAACTCCACTGCATGGTGTGGAGTTCTTCCACACCATGCAGTGGTGTCAGACAACACCACTGCATGGTGTGGAAGAAAAGACCGTGGGCGTGGGCTCAGACAACACCACCAAGACTTTCTGTATTGGTTCAACTGGACTTTCTGCTTTACATTCATAAAAAGTTCTAAGCAACCTTTATGATTTTTTTTTCCTCCATTGGAAAACATGTGTGCTTGCTAAAATTTACTAATACTATCATAGCACAGAGAAAAGAAAATGATCTGGCCTCATCTCAGTGACAGAACTCTGCGATTAAGGCTCATTAAGGAATGAAAGACCATGTCTACTTCGTAGTTGCCTTAAGCTTAGCATGAAAGCCAATTAGCTTGGCATGCCACAAATGATTTAGTTTTACCATGTTAAACCACCACATGGGCAATGAGAGCTACTGTAATGAAGGTTTCTGGATTACCGTTAACCACTAGGGTACAAGAACTCTAAGCATTGCACACAGCATTTTTGCATTTCAGCCCCAACAAGATGTGATAACCACAGAGGTGTGCTTAAAGGGCTGACCGCTGAATTACTATACTGGGTAGCAAGCCAGAAAAAGAAATTTGAAGTATTTCATGACAATACTTGCCGATGGTTGTACAGCACCATGTCTGTGACGGAAACATGGGGTTGTCCCTTCAGCTTTATCTCACGAAACTGCAATTATGAATATCACAGTGAAACATAGATAAAAAAAAAGAAGATGAAAACATCGAACCTGGTTATTATGCTTTGCTCTTTCCAGGGTGCAATCCATAACAAAACACCTGCACTCACAGCCATGTTTCCTTGCTATGTCAACAAACCTGCAAAAGATTACTACGTGAGAGCCATCATACTAAATTGTAATACTGATGCACCTGCATGCATAAGATTTTTTTTTAAGACACAGCAGATAAAAGATCTTTACTGTCTAGGCATGCAATGTAGAATGAAAAGGTACACTACAATGTTTGCAGACATAAGTGCACATGCACAATTTCTTGTGGAATGTTTCAGCTTTTAGGAAGTTCAATTCAGCCAGCCCCACTGCTATGGTCTAGAAGTTATGGCGCTCTACTGCCAACCCAAACGTCACAGGATCGAATTCCGGCTGCGGCGGCTGCATTTTCAATGAAGGCCAAAATGTTTGAGGCCTGTGTACTTAGGTTGAAGTGTGTATTAAATAACCCCGCGTGGTACAAATTTCTGAAGCCTTCCCCTACAGTGTCCCTCATAATCATATCGTGATTTCCTACCATTAGCGTCCATTAAATGGCCAAGAGCTGTAATTTGGTGGCGCCCAATGTGACAGTTGGATGAGTTCAGCTGGAGGCCAGCACAATGAAAGATATCTAAGATAACTGACAGGGGCTTTATATAAGTTTCAAATGTAGGTGAAAAAACAGACATTGTCCAAATAGCACAAACAGGTAGAAAATTTAATGCCTCTGAGCAGAGAGTCCATCATTCGTTCAAACGTGGCTGGAGCGTTAGAGGCTGAAGGGCATGACCTTGAATTGATATAGGCTGTCAAGTATAATAAATGCCGTCTTTTCCTGATCCATGGCATCCACCTCAATCTGCCAGTACCCAAAACGTAGGTCTATGGAGGAAAAATAGCAGGCACCGTAGAGGCAATCAAGAGCTTCATCTATTTGTAGCAAAAGGTACACATCTTTTTTAAAAAGTTTTCTTTAAATGGCGATAACTGGCACAAAAACGCCATGTGCAGTTTTTCTTGCGGACTAGCACGACAGGGGATTCTCAAGGACCGCACAATAGCTCGTTGATGTGCTTTGAAAGCATTTTGTCGACCTCATTCTGGATAATCTGACGCTCCGTCAACGACACACGATACAAACGCCTATGAATAGGAGGATCATTACCAGTGTTTACGCGGTGGTTCACCCAAGTAGCTTTCCCCAATGAATGGCTGCTGAGATCGAAAATGTCGATGTAAGACAGCAGAACGAGGTGGAACTTTTCAGTCTGCTGCACTCTAAGATTAGGAGCAATCATTGACCTAATTGCACTCTGGTGGCAATGAGTGGAGTGGGGCTGGGCAGAGGGGTCGGAAGGAGTGGCCACGGTGACATCTACCGTGTCGTCTTCTAAGGTGGAAAGCAGTGTTGAAGCAATGCATTGCGGCAGCACCTGAGGCGCCTAACTGAAACTGACAACTGGGAGGCACGTGAAGTTCCCTGTGACAAACAGGATGGTATATAGTAAACCGCGGCTGATGAGGACATCGTCGACTGGAGTCAGTACATAGTCGCCGTCGGGAACTGGTAGGTTTGATACGAACTCAACGTAGGTCAGTGTTTGAGATGGAAGACGTGCATATTTGGCAGTGCAGAGGTGACACGGTCGTTGTTCAGCGGGATCTGTGATGGGCAATTGGAAATGGAGCATACTGGCCGAGCAGTCAATGAGGGTAGAATGCATCGATAGGAAGTTGAGGTTTAGGATAACGTCATGCGGGCTCTTGTCAAGGACGGTGCACAGAACAACTGGGTGGCAATCAGTGACACTTACATGAGCGGCGCACATTCCAATGACAGATGAAGCTCCGCTGTCGGCAACACGGACGAACTTAGTCGTCACAAGCGTTCGGACTTTTTCGAGGTTGCGGTAAAAATAAGTGGTCATTACAGAAAGTTGAGCCCCAGTGTCCACGAGAGCAGTCACAGGCACACCGTCAATTAACACAACGATATGGTTCCGTTTTGTCTGTATGGCCAGTAGAGAATTTTCGGTCAGTCCAATCAATGCAGCACCACCTCCAGGGACTGCAACATTTAGTTTTCCATCGGGGAACGTCAAGGGTAGGCAGGGGAAGGTGGTCGGCGGGGCAGGGGAGAATGAGAATGGACATGTTGGGGAGATGGAGAACCAGAATAGCAGCGATCAGTTTTATGATGAGCAAAATTGTCGGGGCTGGTCTTCTGACGATAAACAGGTCAGGCATTGAAGGAGCACTGGATTGGTTGTGCAGTAGGACCCCAACGACTTCTGGAATGACGAGAAATGTCCCAATACGGTGACAAGAGAAGCATACGGGCTTGCCATCAGGTGTTCGCTATTTGCAAGGATTGCGGAACGTCGACAGAGAGTGGTAATGAACGTGCATATGTGAATGGTTGCTGGCAGTCAGTGCAGGAAGGCGTTAAAATAGAACATAGACCCATGCTGGCGATTTCCTGTCGTACAAAAGCTTGAATAAAGGGAAACAGAATTGAAGGAGCGGAGTGAGGTGACGTTGGTGGCACTATAGCAGAGGCGACTGCTTCAAGTTCACGCCAGATGGGTTGATTTGTGGGGTTTAACGTCCCAAAACCACGCCAGATGGGTCAAGTTAAGTTGTGACAGGTGTCGGATGTACGATACAAGTTGAGACACAATGACATCGCTGCTGTATTTGGAAGGCACTAGAATTGATGAGAGATGCGCTTGCTTTTAGCATGTTTCAGCCGACGTCATTTTTGAATAATAGCATTAACAGATGACATGTCATTGAATACCGACAAGTTAAATGCATCATCGGCGATACCCTTTAGAATATGCACAACTTTGTCAGGCTAGGACATGTTTTCGTCAACTTCGCAGTATAGTGCAAGGACATGCTGAATGCAACTAATGTAGGACTCCATGTCAGTTTGTGCGCGAGTTGACAACTCATTCTTCGCAGCTTGACGACAACCGAAGAGGTTCCCAAAAAAAGCTCACGGACCTTTTCCTTGAAGCTGTCCCAGCTCGTAATGTCATGCTCGTGGTTGCCAAACCAGACACGAGGGGTTTCTGTCAAGAAAAAAGATGACATTTGCGAGCATATGTGTGGGGTCCCACCATCAAATGGCGCTGATACGTTCGTAAAGGCGTAGCCATTTGTGGACATCGAAACCCTCGCGGCTCGAAAATATGGCAGGACCTTTTTACGACGGGAAGCATCACAAACATTGTTGCAGCCGGTAGGTTGGCAGGCAGGGCACAAGGTGTGACGACCAGAGAAGAAGTAGAGTCCTGAGAGGCCATATTGAAAGCGGCGAGTGAGCGCCCGCAGAGGAGTTCCATGGCAAGGATGGGGATCGCACAGCTCCACTAAATATGTTACGAGGAAGACAGACCCAGCAGGCATGGACTTGAGGGAATACACTCAAACCTTGTTATAACGAAGTTGAAGGGGAGCCACAATTATTTTGTTATATCCATTATTTTGTTATATGGATTATAGCAGTTTGTGGCAATGTATGCTCAGATGGGCGCACACGTATAAGCATGCAAAGGATGAAACCGCCTTGCGGCCCGATGTTCCGCTACGCGAGCACGCGTGCCACGGAAAATAAACTCAGTCGAATCTTATTAATTCGAACTTTCGGATAATTCGAACTCACGCTGAGGTCCCGTAAAAACTATGTGTATTCCAATGGGCGAAAACGCCCTGTAATTTGAACGTGCAAGCACTTGTGACGGTTAATTTGAACATACCGCGCTCCAAAAATACTCTTAGAACCACGCCCAAAACCGCGGCGACACCTCTCAACGCTGCGCGCGAAGAAGGACTGTGGCTGTGGTGGGTTGTTTTCTCTCTTTCAAATGTCGATCAGCAACGCGCCTGTTCCATGGTTCTCCCTTTTTCGTCTCTGCACGCAGAGACCCTTCTCCTTTCAAGGCCGTGCGCGCAGAGAGAGGAAAAAAAGAAAAAGAAAAGCTGTAACGAAGAGTCCTCCTCTCTCGGTGCAGAGTAAGCAGCCATGGTAGCAGCAGAGACGCAGTCGTTGCTGTCATGAAAGCGAAATCGCTTTGCACTGCGGCGCTGCTTCTTGGTCAGGTGACCCGCTGAGCGCTTCCTCAATCCTCTCCCGTTGGCTGCGTAAGGAGGATGGTTCTCTCGCCCGCGCGGGGCGCGGCTGTACGTCGGCGCGGGAGTTTTGAATGAGCTGCACCGAACGAGCGTCAAACTCTGCAGAAAAGGCTATACTTAACACACTACGGTCATTTTTTTATAGACTATTTAATAGACTTATTTAGTTCGTTATATCCATTTACAAGTCAATTTTAGTTCGTTTGTGGTTTAAATTACATGGTTCCCAATGGAGTTTTCAAGGGGAATTTAATTTACTTTGTCATATCCATTATTTTGTTATATCCCATTACATTATAACAAGGTTTGAGTGTATATGTATTTACAACTGGTTAGTTGAGCTTAGCTGCCAAACGAAGAGTTCGCACCAGTCTATCTGCTACCGTCCTCTTCGTCGTGTTCATCGCTATGCCACAGGTACGTAGCATTATTATTGTTATTATTATTATTATTATTAGAAAATTCAGTCATTTCTCAAATACTGTAGATTATTTGTTTCCTTTAAGCAAAAATTTTCAATACAGCAGAGGTCTTTCTGTGAAACTGTGGAGATGTTCAGACGAACTCTGAATTAAAAAACAGGCAGTGCTTGCAAAGGTATGCAATTTTAATAAAAAATATTTTCTTAGCTGCGCAATGCTGTTTCAAATGTGTGGTTAATTGACTTTGCAGGATTCATGAAAAAAAGTAGAGTCAGCTAATCCACAACACCGACATGTCCACTTTTTAAAAACTTCATAATGCACAAGTTTATATTGAAAATTGATCATATCTAATGACAATTATATTTTCTGTAGTTTTTCTAAAGCACCAGTGTTTCAAGATATTCATTAAATACAACACTCCATTTCAGATTGAGGTGTCACGAAATTACTGGAGTGTCAAAGTTGACGACAAAGATCTCAGAACACAAATGTGTTTTTTTTTTTTTCTCCAACCGAAACAAGGCTGAATTGCACGAGG